TTCTCATGCCCAGTTCATGGCCTATCTCGCCGTCTATGCATCACTCTTCCTCATTTACCGACACAGCCCGAGCTTATCGCAGTCAGGAGCGGCTCTTCACTTCTGGATGCGAGTGTTGATCTCCTTGGTATTGTGTCTCGGTGCCGGTGCAGTAGCCGTTAGCCGCATTTACCTGAACTACCACACCCCCAGGCAGGTCCTGGCTGGATGTGGCGCAGGTGTGATATGTGCATTCGCTTGGTTCTTCATCACCGGGCTTCTTCGATCGCAAGGATGGATTGATTGGGCCCTGAATCTCGAGATCTTTCGATTTTTTCGTGTGAGAGACTTGGTGGTGAACGAAGATCTCGCCGAGGCCGGTTGGCAACGCTGGGAGGCTAAGCGGAAGTTGATGCGGAAAGGGCCCAGTGGTCAGACATCATCGAAAACCGAATAGTGCGATTCGAAGATGTCAAGGGGCCGAATTTAAAGAGCAATCCCATATACATGTCAACATCAGCGATACCCATAGATCTCACTGCCCTCGATACATAAATGCATACAAGGCCTGCAAAGTGAAAGTTCCGCGGTTTGGTTCGATCCTGCCGGGGGTCACAGACAATACAATTACAAGTTTGTGTACTACTATTATAATCCTATATATGACTATGCTTAGCAGTGTGGTAGTACGACATACTACTAATATTAAAATTAAAATTGAAGAATCATCAGTGATAGTAACTTGGACATGGTGATACCAATCTGAACATGATGCAACTCAGCAGAATATATATTTCCGGAAGACGGGGACTAAGCACTACTACAAAGTATCTAGTAGTACTAGTGCTCGGAAGTGAATGTGGCCTTGAAGATAAACTTCAACTACTAGAAAGATTGCAGGAACAATACAATAGCGTTTGGATCTTTTAGGATCGTAGAGTCGAGAACAAACCTTTTTATTGTTTGCTTCTTGATTTCTACGAGAGATCCACTTCGAGGGGCGTTCCTCGCACGTGACCACCAGCTCCCGCGGATCGACAGCTTCCCCGAAACTCCTCGCGTGGTCATCGTCGATTCACAAAGACTGCGGAGAGAGCTGCCTCAAAACCGCCATAAAAGACACCATGTGTCCTCTTCTTGACTAAATAACCATGTTGGATAGTCTCTGACATTCTCTCTCCCACTCCGCTTTGTCGCTTAAAATTTAACCTTCTATTTCTCCGGGCTTCCCCCCTGTTCACTTCCAACTGATACCCTTGATTTTGTTTCTGAACATCCTTCATTATTTTCTTCTGTGATCTGTCCTCTCTAGAAATCCATTGCCCCATAGTTACACAAATATGGATGATGCATCGGAGCCTGCGGATAGTGCCATGCAAGAGCATCATTTCGTTAAAGCAGATGAAGTTGACCAAACTGGAACGGACATCAGTCCCGTTTCGGATGACCAGTTGATGGAGGAGGTAGCTGAGGGAATACGCCAGGAGCAGTCACAGCAGAATGTACCTACTGCGCCTAATGAAGCACCAGTAGAGATTCACAGAGCACCAAAACGCCCTGAGCTGCGTCGGGATGCTTCTGCCCCACCGCCCCCTCTACAGCCACCGCCTCCAGCTCCGGTTCAGCAACATGTGGAAAGACCATCTGATTCCTTGAGTCTTGCTCAGCTGAAACAGCTGGTCCAGGAGATGCCCAAGGTTGAGCAGCCTGCCTATGCTTTCGAGTATGCAGACTCCCAGCCATTCGCCGAGGAAGTCGAGGAATGGTTCCAGTACAGCGAGTTCGACAGAGTCATGCTCATTGGGATGAAGTCATCATTTGACCATAGATGGAGTTGTTTCTGCGAAGACCAGTCTGTGGACAGTGCTCTGCAGTCCTGGATCACCGCCTCTTATGAATTACGAAAGACGTTTATGAGCCAGCTTATTAATAACTTAGGTGACCGTGCAGTCCTTGTCCGAATTGAGGCCTTGGAGGCCATATGCTATGCTTTGACTGGTGTTTGGGGCCTGACGGCCGGTCGAGTTGTGGATGAGCACCCGGAGGGTCGTCCTCAGCCAGGTGCAGAGGCTGAAAGCCAGTCACTTCAGATCAAATGGATTGAACAGAATGTTTGCCTGCTCCAAGAATGCTCAGGTATCCAGCCACTGATGGACTGCCTATGCTGTGTCTTTGAGAGGCATCGCAGTTCCTCCGCACCTGACGCGGACAGCACGGCACAAGAAGGCGTCAACCCTGCCTATGTTGCTGCTCTGGAGAGAGAAGCAAATCTGGTGTTGACGGCTCTTTATTTGTCTGTGGAAGTCGGCCGCAAGCAAGACGCTCTTGATACCCGGAATGCCCCTTTGAGAGATACTCTCATGAGTCTGGAGCCCAATCTGCTTGTGTTCCTGGTGGAAATCATTGCGCGGTTGCGTTGGGACGACTCTGCCAATGTTCCGCTGACCAGAGTCATTCTTCTATTTTGGAAGTCTTTGCTGCTTTTCTTCGGAGGCACTGATAAATTGAAGGAGGCCAAGGAAGCACTGGAGCCGACCCTCGAGGCAAGAAAAGCAGCCACTAATCGAAGGACCCCTTTCCTCACTGCCTCGCCCTTGGATTACCACAACTTTCGACAGGAGATCACATCCAAGTATCCTGCGTATAATCCGCCACCTCCTGTGGTCCCCCTAGAGCTAGAAAATAATTCGATTCTTCCCCCACTCCCGCAACATCCCAGCAGGATCGGCTCTTCTGCGGGTCCCTTCTCTGGAGTTGGCCCTTCTGTGGCGGGTGGCAGTGGTTCAATCATCCATCACCCAGTCCACATTGCTACCCCGGCACCCTCTCCTCCACCGTCACCCATCGGCCCTGGCGGCAAAGCGGGGAAGAAGCAAAACTACCAGACAAACCAGAACTTTCCTTTCATGTACCCTCCTCTAGATGATTCAAGTAATGACCTCGGAGGAAAGGGCACCACAGAGCTGCAAGATAATCTTGTGGGAAAGAAGTGGCAGGGTAGTGACGTTCCGGCGTCCATCATCGAGGCTGGGAGGCTGTTCTCAACCCATGTCAAGATGACAAGGGCGATGCGGCAACTCTGGGAAGAGCGAGAGCGTTTTATGAAATACGACCGCGGCTGGTATCCTGATGAAAACCAGCTTCTTTTGAACGAGAACACCCTTGGTGGATTGGCAGATGAGCTGCAAGACCTAAACGTCTCCGAGAAGAGGTCTAGTACTGATAGCACACCGAAAGAGGAAACTGAGAATGCGGATATTCAGCGACGCCTGGATGCCGTTGAAGCGTTCTACGTGAGTTTACGTGATGCCCCAGGTGACTGAACAGTTACTTACAACTCGCAGAGACAAGCACTGGTGCATCTACAGTCTATAACGATTGTCTTCCTGAAGATAATCCTAACGAATGTCAGCGCCATGGTGAGCCAGGCCAACGGACAAGCTGCTCAGGCCATGGGGTATGTAATACACCTGTAATTGCCATTGTCTAGCGTATACTGATGCATCATATCTAGTGATGGTTATGGATCGGTAATCAATGGGTTCCCAGCCAATCATGTCAACGGGCATATTGATCTCAACTCTGAAGCCGCCATCGATGAGCTCGACAATATTCGTCTCCGGGAAATCACCGGAAAAGCGATCTCTGGCTCTCTGCTACTGCTTGTGAAGTGGTTCAAGAGATCTCGTAAGCTACTCCGATCTGACTGTGTTGGAAGGAAGTGCTAACAGGCCCCCAGATATCTTGAAGTTCGAGTATATGACGCAGTTGCTACTCGACTCCAACTACCTGCCGTTGATTCTCAAGATGTTTGCCCACCAGGATGTGGACCAGGCAGTGGCGCAGAAGAATGATCGAGAGGAACTGGGGTAGGTGCTCCCCTGATACAGTTGTCTAGATGTACTAACAAAAACGAAGTTTCTTCCGTTTCTGCCATCTTCATTCGAATCAGCCACCGGAATCAACAACCGACCTGGATGAGGACTCCTCACCTAGTGACGACGAGGCTGTCCCTCCGCCCATCACCCGACATCGCCAGGACACAGGCAATTCAGTACGCGGCGTGTCGCCCGAAGTACCTGTTCCCGAGTTTATGGAAGGGCCTCATCGTCCGGAAGTTGACGAGCTAGGCTATCCTACAGCTCCCCCACCTAAGGAGCCGATTACCGTGTTCTCATTCCGCAACTTTTTCTCAGCGATCAATTACCTCCACATCATGCAGAAGATCACCCGCGACAAGGCCCATCGATGCCTCCTCCTGGTGCAGTACAAGTCAAGCACTATCCTTCGCAAAGGGCTCAAGATCCCCGATCCGCACCTGCGGTTCTACACGCTCAAGCTCTTCAAATCGCAAGTGCCCTACTGTGGACGCAAATGGCGACAGAGTAATATGCGGGTGATCACGGCGATCTATCTGTACTGCCGACCGGAGCTCCGCGATGACTGGCTGTCTGGCGGAGACATCGACTCGGAGGTGGAAGAAGCGCTGCCACTGGAGCAGGCACTGCGCGGGCTGACGCACTGGTGGCATCTGCGCCGGTACAAGGACGTAATGGGAGGCGAAGAAGGCGCATCCATGATGGAAGAAGAGCGAGATTTCTTCGTGCGGGAGCTCGAAGCAATGGGATGGGGCATGGCAGGCGAGGAATCCTTCGGAGGCAGCGAGGACGCTGAAATGGGCGGGCCTATGGTGAACGGGACGGGGACCGAATGGGACGGAGCTCCACTGCAAATGGAAGGATGGTAATCCTACTATCACAACCTCTGATATTTTTTAGACCCGGTACATACGATAGACGTTAACGTTATGTGATGAATGAACAATACCCCAATTGCACAACACTCTTTTCTATACAAACCCCTGTGTTGCAACTCATATATTAGCATTTGCGATGTTTTGAATGGATGAACAGGCCATCCTTATCGATAAGCAGCCCAGTGGACCCCCACGTGACCAATCACTGCGGCAACTTTTTTCTGCGGCAGAAATCATCACCTTGACGGCCAAGCAGCACCTCCCTCTTTCCTTTCCTCCCCAGCAAAACCAAGTTTAACTGTAGCGGGGATAAAACCAATCCACCGCGAGAAATATCTGGCAAGATGTCGTCCGACGAAATTGTCTGGCAGGTTATCAACCAGCAATTCTGCGCCTACAAGCTCAAGTAAGTTTCTATTTCTATCTCTACTATCCATCCGCGCTATAAAAAAAAATTTCCGCCTACCACATATATCACAACCAGAGCCGCCAAAGAAAGGAGAGAAAAATAGTTCACAAGTCATTTAAATATAAGCTAATCATAATTTCTTTTTTCTCTTATTGGAATAGAACTACTAAGAACCAAAACTTCTGCCGAAATGAATACAACGTCAGCGGACTTTGCAACCGGCAATCGTGCCCGCTCGCCAACTCGCGGTACGCCACGATCCGGTCGGACCCCGAAACAGGCGCGATGTACCTGTACATGAAGACGGTGGAACGGGCGCACATGCCCAGCAAATGGTGGGAGCGGATACGATTGTCGTCGAACTATGCGAAGGCGCTGGAGCAGTTGGATGAGCGGCTGATCTACTGGCCGAAGTTCCTGGTGCATAAGTGCAAGCAGCGTCTGACGCGGTTGACGCAGGTTGCGATTCGGATGAAGAAGTTGGCTAAGGAGGACGAGAGACTTGGGGAGAAGGTGGTGACGAAGTTGGCGCCGAAGATTCGGCGGAGAGAGGAGGCGAGGGAACGCAAGGCGGAGAGTGCGGCGAAGATTGAGAGGGCAATTGAGAGGGAGCTGATTGAGCGGTTGAGGAGTGGTGCTTATGGAGATCGGCCGTTGAATGTTGAGGAGGGAATTTGGAAGAAGGTGTTGCGTGGGTTGGAGAGGAGTGGAGAGGGTGAGAGGGATGAGGATCTGGATGATGGGGAGGAGATTGAGTTTGAGGATGAGGAGGAGGAAGAGGAGGGTGTTGGTCAGGTCGAGTATGTTAGTGATATTGACGAGGATGAGGAGGATCTGGAGGATATTGAGGATTGGATTGGTGAGGGGTCTGGAGACTCCAGTGACGATTATGATGATGAGAGCGACGAGGAGGAGGACAGTGATGAGGATGATGAGGATGATAGCCATCACTCTGATGAGGAGGCTAAGAAGCCTGCGCCTGGATTCAAGCGGAAGCGTCCTGCTCCTCAGATCAAGCCGAGGAAGAAGGGTCCCCGTGTTGAGATCGAGTACGAGACCGAGGGTGCTGGTAAGGAGAGCATCATGGCTTGAAGGGAGTGAGACATTGGACATAAAAGCACGGGTTCCTGTTGATGTTGCTGCTGCTGCTGCTTTCGTGTACTGTATGGCGTTGTCTGGTTTAAAGTTGTTTTGTGTCTGTTATAATTGTTGCTCTGCTGCGATCGGGCATGCATACCCCGCCATTGCATATATGAATTTACTGTTCACCAAAGTTCTGGATCTGCGACGTTAGACTATGTACATGACAACTACATGAAGGTCAGAAACCCCAATTCAAAAATGTTGCGACAAGATCCACCAGTTGGCTGTGTCATATGGTGAAGGAAAGAAAGAAACCGACTGGAGCAGCTCACGTGCAGCGGGGGAAGTGAAACCGAGTGGATCGCCAACAACCGCCGTGAGGTCAATCAATCAATCAATGTCAAACCTCCCCTAAGGGGTTGCACCAATACCTCCTGATCACCCTTCTACACGCTGGTCGGCTCGAGATACCGTGTTCAATAGCACCTTAATTCCTCACCGCTGCAGCTAATTTTCTCGGCTCTTGTTTCGCCCCGCGGACCAGCATCAGCCTCTCCTCGTGTCCTGAACCCCCCGATAACCGCGGACCCCACCTAAGCAACTCACCTCCTTTTGAGAGACCCCAGCTCCGACCAGCCAGGGGGAACCTGCCTAAAACAAACCCAGAATCACAAGAAGAAAACGAACGAAGAAGGAGAACAAGAATCACCATCATGTTCTCATCCCTGACCTCATCCTCCGCCATCTCGAACCTAGGCACGCGGCTCACCTCCCTCCGACGAGCCATCACCCTAGGCGATGAAGCCGACGACCCAGACAACGAAGACTGCTCGCACATTTCCAACGTGCTCCGCGCCTACTACACGGAGAAAGGACGGCCCTTCCCGAACTGGCTGCCCCCCGATCCGAAAGCGCCAACACCAGCGCCGGCACGGGTCATCGCGACGACGCAAGTGCAGGCCGGAGGAGCAGCCGGCGGCGGCGGTGGTCCAGCAGCATCGGCGTATGGACGCAGCGGTGGCGGCGGATTGGGAGACTTGTGGGGAGATTCGGGTTCAACGACGGCGGCGGCCTCGCAGACGGCCAGTCTGCGTCGAGGTCGGTTGACACCCGGCAGTGGTGGAAACATGGGGGCGCCTCTAGCCGCCACGGCCAGCGCACCATCGGGAATGATTGCATCACCGCATAGTCCGTCACCTGGTGCAGGTGTGCCGACCGGGTCAGCGAGACCGCTGCCTAGCCAGCGAGCCGGGTCGTATCAGACGATCTCGGGTCCAGTCACAGGTGGAGGAGGAGGAGGTGCAGGTGCAGGGCTAGAGCGAGCGGCGTCGGCTCAAGAGAGACTGCGAGCTAGATTACACGGGGGCCGGTCTCCCAGTCCCGGGCAGAATCCGGGCAGTTCGAGTGGTAGTCGGCCGGGTTCGCCATATGTTGGAGGGGGAGCGGATCCTAGTGCACGAAAACCGGTAGGCATGCCGGGAAGACGATAATGGTCGGGCAGGATTTTTTTTTGCTTTTTTAGTTTCGTTTACGTTTAGGCTAATTTACTTTTTACTCCATTTACGGAGTAACGCCGTGCTACCTTGGGCTGGGGTGGTGGTGTGTGGGGGAAAACGAAGGGGGCAAGGAAGAGGAATTAGTGGCTGCAGGGGCTTATTGCAAGATGGGGACTGCTGGTTAGTGTCTTGTCTTGTGGTAATTCGGATGAAGTCCGCGGAATGGGGAAAAAGGGCGGGATGATGAAGTTGAAGAGAGAGAAGAAGAAAGAGGAAAGAGAGGAGCAAAGAGTGAGGAGACTAATCTATCTTAGTGGACTGGACTTTTCCATGGTTTTCGTTGTCATGGAACTTGGGACTGGGGACTCTGGGAGTTGTTCCTGCTTTTGTCTTCTCTGGTTGAGCCTTCGTGTACCTTACCTTTATCTTCAGGTCTCAAGATGAGAGACTATAATATAAACTCTGTATTATTCCGCAAGCTTTTCCTTCTTGCCAGTAAAACCATGTTTCCTTCCCGGGCCGTCTTGGCTGACCATTATTTTGCTTGTTGCTTGATGGCATTGCTTGAGTGAGGTAAGAAAAGGCTGGGCGTAAACGTTCTTCCCTTGGCCAGGAAGGCCTTTTTGCCGGGGGGAAATAGAAGTGGGGAAGGCATCCAGACCATGCTTTTTGACTTTTTACTTTCCCTTTCCTTTCCTTCTTTGCGTTTCGCTTCAACCCGGGGCGCATGTTGTCACGGCCCAGCAAGAAGTTAAGACTAGTGTCGGGGGTGTAGGGGAAAGTTAACGAATGAGGGACTCGGGCTTGTGGAGAGTCGAACGGGGAACGGGGAAGAGGATTGGAACCTTTGGGGGGAAGAGAAGGAGAAAAACGGAGTAAGATAGCGAGACCAGTCAGAGATTATGGGGAATCGACACTAAGTAGTAACAGTATGGAGTACTCCGTTAGTAGTGGAAAGAGTCACGGGGCCCCGAAAAGAGAGCGCCCAAAAGAAAAGTGGAATAAAATGGCGCAACTACATAGTAGACCTACCCCACGAGGCTAACCAGAATAAGCGTTTGGTGGTATTTTTCAATGAACGATGACTGGTCAGAGTATCGCCGAGAATCCACCGGCTTAGGTAATGGGTGCTGCCCACGGGGAAATTGTCTCCTCCGCTTCTCTTCTGGGGAAGAATCAGCATCGCAGACATTCCTTTCATTCCACTCATTCCATCGGGTTGTTGCTTAATGGTCAGACATCTTTACTGCTGCTGCTGATTTTGTTTTGCTGCCCATCATGCCGTTCCCCACTTCTGCATCTTCCCTTTTTTTCCTTTTCTTTTCTCCCTCCCCCCGGCTGGCCCTGGCGTGGTCGGCTTCCCTGACTGGTTCCACGGCCCGATACTAACGAGTCAAACCCGGTCCTCATGATGGGTCCTGCTTCTTTTCTAACTTTTTCTGTTTCTCCCTCTCTCTCTCTTCATTACGCCGATGACGCTTCTGGGGAATGATGAGGTAGTAGCCAGTCTCAGTCGTACGTAGTTGTAGTTGGGAAGGAGGAGGAGGAGGCCCATGGGCCGATATGTGTGCCCTTTAAATACCCCCCCCCTTCTGGCATTCCCCAGATATTTCTACCTCTTTCTCTTCTTCTTTCTGCGTGTGTCTCTATCCCCACCTTATCCATCTCTCTTCTATACAGAAGATCCTTGCCCCGATAGTGGGAGGTATCTTCTCTCTTTCTCACACCCTCTCTCCCACCCGCAAAGAGAGTTGAACAACCCGCCCCTCCCACATGCTCTTTTAGCCCTGATTGTACCTCTTTTGTACATATCATAAAGAAAACAACTTCCCTCTAATATCACAAGCGGCTGTCACACCGCACTTTCCATTTCCAATCATGGGTGTCGTACACGACCTGGACACCTCCCATGATGACCACAAGGAGGGAACCGCCTTGGAGATGGACGATGTCCTCAAGGACCCCAAGGCCATCGAGGAATTCAACGAAGCTGCCATGGATGCAGAGTTGCTGCAGCTCGAGGAGCAGCTGCAAAACAGGAAGCCCTCTTGGTTCGTGGGCTTCTCCAACCCATCTGTGTATACCTATGTCCTAGTGGCCTTTGCCTCCATGGGTGGTCTACTCTCCGGTCTGGACCAGTCCCTGATCAGTGGTGCCAACATCTACCTGCCTGATGCATTGCACCTTAACGACAACCAAAGTAGTCTTGTGGATGCTGGTATGCCTCTGGGTGCCGTGGCCGGTGCCCTCATCCTCTCTCCCGCCAATGAGTACCTGGGTCGTCGCATGGCCATCATCGTCTCCTGCATCTTGTATACCATTGGTGCCGGCTTGGAGGCCGGCGCCATCAGCTTCGGAATGATCTTTGCTGGACGTTTCGTGCTCGGTATGGGTGTGGGTCTGGAAGGTGGTACAGTCCCTGTGTATGTCGCCGAGTCTGGTATGTCCTTCACCCCTTACTTCCCCTTTACATCACCATCATCACCTTCATCATCGACTAACGTCACTTCCAGTACCCCGCAAGATGCGTGGTAACCTGGTCTCACTGTACCAATTGAACATTGCTCTCGGAGAAGTCCTAGGCTATGCCGTGGCCGCCATCTTCCTCGACGTCAAGGGTAACTGGCGTTACATCCTGGGATCATCCCTGGTGTTCTCGACCATTCTGCTGGTGGGTATGATTTTCCTGCCCGAGAGTCCCCGTTATCTCATGCACAAGGGCCGGTCCGTGGAAGCCTACGGCGTGTGGAAGCGAATCCGCGGGTTCAACGACTACGACGCCAAGGACGAGTTCCTGGGCATGCGCCAGGCCGTGGAGGCCGAGCGCGAAGAACAAGCCGCTACCAAGAAGTACGCTTGGATGGACTTCATCACGGTGCCACGTGCCCGTCGCGCCATGATCTACGCCAACATCATGGTCTTCCTCGGCCAATTCACCGGTGTCAACGCCATCATGTACTACATGAGCACACTAATGAGCGCTATCGGCTTCGACGAGCGCCAGAGTGTCTTCATGTCTTTGGTCGGCGGTGGCTCCCTCCTGATTGGCACCATCCCGGCCGTGCTATACATGGAGCGCTTCGGTCGCCGCTACTGGGCCAACGCGATGCTCCCCGGTTTCTTCATCGGCTTAGTGCTGGTCGGCATCGGCTACCAGATCAACTACCAGGTCCACCCCAAAGCCGCCCAGGGCATCTACCTCACCGGTATCATCCTCTACCAGGCCTTCTTCGGCTCCTACGCCTGTCTCACCTGGGTCGTGCCCGCCGAGGTCTTCCCCACTTATCTGCGTAGTTACGGCATGACCACCGCCGACGCCAACCTCTTCCTCTGCTCCTTCATCGTCACCTACAACTTCACCCGCATGATGAACTCCATGACCCGGATCGGTCTGACCTTGGGCTTCTACGGTGGTATTGCTTTCCTTGGCTGGATCTATCAGATTATCTTCATGCCTGAGACGAAGAACAAGTCTCTCGAGGAAATCGATGAGCTTTTCTCCCGTCCGACTTCTGCTATTGTCAAGGAGAATCTGAAGAGTACGGGTGAGGTCATTGATGATTTGTTCCACTTGCGCTTTAAGAAGGTGTTTTCGCCCCCGCCGAAGGAGGACTAATTGACTGATTGATTAAGTTGATTCCTGGGTTGAAAGGAAGGATCATGATTCCGATTCCATGTATGTTTTGGTCAATGTGGATGATGTATATGTCTATTATGAATATAGGATGATCTGAAGATGAAACAAGAAACAGAAACAGAAACAAAAAATTGGGTATTTTTCCCGCCACTTCATTATTTAATGGGTTTATGATGGTCTTGACTGTGTTTATCTTATATTCTATCTCTGATGTAATTTCAAACTACTTGTGTTTGAGTCATTGCCGTGGTGTCAATAATACCCTTATTCATGCTGTCATATACATCTACTATATCTATATCTACATCTAGATGTGCAGTATTGACTCTCAAAAGAGTACATACATGCATATTCTGTAATCATTACTGATCTAACTTTGCAGCTACGCGCGCAATGAGAAACATGGCGTATTAGGTCCAGCCTCCCAACTCGAACATTCATGTCTTAAAACTCAAATGCACGTGGCTGAGACCAACCGACTAATTAGTTATTGCTTGGCTTCCAGCCATGTACAGACACCGTACTACTGATGACGAAAATAATGAAGAGCATATAAATTCACGCTAAGTCTATATACCACGCAATGGATAACAAGCAAGACAGCGAGCAAGTAACGACCAGTTTTTGGTTCGGTGATATACAGGTGTATAGCCATATGCTTGATGGAGAAGAAGAAGAAGAAGCCAAGAGACGAAATATCATGTAGGGAGGGCGAAGGGTACGACACGCAGAAGATGGTAAATAGCTAACCCCGTACTTTCCGATAACTGGGTGGACTCCACGATCGCAGGATCAGTTTACCCGCCCAGATTGGAATGAGGGAGACGGCGCAGACGGCGCAGACGCGCCAGAGCCAGTCTACTGTGATGACGTAGTGCAGGTCGAAGTAGCTGCCGAGGAAGGGAACGCTAGCAGCGTAGACGAGAGCCGTGCCGATGATGCAGAAGATCATGATTGGGTGCCAGGTGGTGATGGCGATGGCGACCATGAGGAGCTCGTTGATAACGAGAGAGGTGAAGGAGACGCTGATGAGACGGGGGCCGGTGATGGTGTCGAGGAGGATTTGGGAAAGGCCCTGAATGACGGCGCCTTGGTAGACGGAGACCAGGACCCAGGTGAAGAAGGAGCGGTAGCTGAGGCTGCGGCCGGTTTTGAGCTCCTTGTAGAGTTCGGGGTAGAGATTGGCGAGCTCTTCGTCGACGTCACGGTCGAAGACGAGCGAGAAGACGGGGGCGTTGGTGTAGACGGTGGCGTAGCCGACCATTAGCCAGTTGATGAAGAGACCCTTGGGGTCAAAGTGACTGGCGATGCTGTACATGGTCTGACAGGCGCTGATGATGAGACCACGGTGCATGATGAACTGGGCGAGTTTGGCGGATCGTTTGTAGGAGTTGCGGCCATGCCAGACGAGGAGTTTGGTAAGATGGTGGAACTGGGTGATGCTGAAGTCGGCTGCCAGGGAAGCTTGACGACCCTCCTTGCCGACAATGCCGATTCCGACATCAGCGGCCTGGATCATGGAGACGTCGTTTCCACCGTCGCCAATGCAGCAGACGCGCTTTTTGGTGTGCTGGCGGATGAGGTCCGCTACTTCTGCCTTTTGGGTGGGCGAGCACCGACAGGCAACGACAGCCGGGAGCAGGACGGCCACGGAGATGAAGGCTGTCCGGAACTGACCTAGCATGAGAGACAGGGACTCGCCGTCAATGAGGAGACAGCAGTCGGTCTTGTTGCGAAGGAAATCCAAGGTTTCCTGAGCGGTAGACTTGTCTTTGACTTTGGCAACCGTGTGGATGTACTGTCCACGGGCGACCAGCTTTGCGGAAATGGCTACACAGCGTGCCGTCTCGACCTTGTCACCCGTCAACATCCAGATTTTGACACCGGCATTGCGAAGCAGCTCCAAAGAGGATTTGACATCCCGTTGAAGGCGGTCTTCCACACCGGTCACGCCAAGAAGTTCCAGGTCTCGCTCCAGGTACTCGCTGATCACCTTGGCCATACCGACATCGCGTCCTTGCAGAGCAAGAGAGGCTTGCTTGTACTTGGTGGTGAACTCTTCGTATTGCTGCGAAGACAGCCGCCGTCGGCCTACGACCAGAGTTCGCAAGCCCTCGCGAGCCATATTAGCGGTCTCCTCATCGAGCCAATCGTTCGCCGCAACGATCGTTGACATGACGGTATCAGCACCCTTTTGATAAAACCATATCTCACTGTCGTTCTTCGACGAATCCAGGATGTCGTCATCCGTCTCAAACTGCACGATAATCCCCATCCGCTTACTGTCCGAAGTGAAGGGAAAAATCTCAAGAATGCGGACCCGAACAACGACCTTCTCTGTGTGGGTAGACTCAAGGACGATAGACTGTCTGTCGCGATAAGCCAACTTGAGCCCGACGTCTTCAGTGTATTTCACGATCGCAATTTCATCGGGGGAGGAAGCTTGGTAATTGGTGACCCTGACACCGTCTTCTTCATCCGTAGTAGGGGTGACATTGTGACAAAGAGCAAGGGCCAAAATGATGTCTCTGACACGGGAACCAATCTCCCTTCTCGTGCGCGGAGCCGTACCAAGTCCAGCTTGAGCTCCGAATGCGGTTGAAGGAGTCGTCAGCGAGTCACCCACGAAGCTTTGTCGAACATAGGATGCCACTTCTTCCATAGCGTCATTGGCATACGAGACCGTCCCAACATGGATTTTCTTCAGTTCCATCTCTGCTTCCGTTAGCTAACAAGCAGCGGGCATCGGCCTATCGAAATACTCACCGTTTTGGGTCAGAGTCCCTGTCTTATCGGAAAGGAGATATTCAATTCTACCCAGGTCTTCAGGAATAGTACTGGTCCTGACAACCGTACCTGGTATATCCTTGTCTCGTTCGATGAAGCGCCCGTATACCGATTTCGCCATGTCCAAGTTGACCCGCAAGCTCATGGGGATTATCGTCGAGAAGAGAATCAAGTAGATCATGATTGCAACATACCAGACCTTGTCATTTGTCGGCTGGAAACCTTCCAGAGCAACCAGAACAATGGACAAGGCCAGAGTCAGCGCGCAAAGGATCTTGGTTAGGTTGTTGATCTCGTACTCCAGCAAGCCAACTTTCGAGCGAGACGGTGAGGTGGAAAGGGCAGCCCGCGTCTGAGACCCTGTATAGATGATGGTAGCGTAGGTGACGGTGTTGGAGGCAAGAACAGTGTTGGCCCATGCGGTGTTGTCGATTGTTAACGGAGCAGAGGTGGCCTGGGTGTCAGAGGCCTCATAGTCTCCGCCATTTTCCCTCTTATCAACATGAGGATCGTAAAACCCGGACGGCGGACCCAGATCGATAGTACCGACAAATTCATTGACTCGTCTATCAGGTGCACTTGCAGTGACCTTCAACCTTGGAAGGTCGCTAAGAGGCAGGGTTTGCGACAAAACAGAAGGCAATCGTAGCTTCCAGTCAGTTTCACCATCTAGTTGATCAGTTCGTATGAATGTGTCACTGGCCGACGAGACATTAGCTGCGTTTGTCGCGGTGCTGGAGCTAGGTTCGGGGGTGGTAGGTGATAATAAGCTTTCTTCCTGCGAAGGGACCTCTGCCGGTCTTTCCGCCAAAGAGCTTTGACGAGCAGTCACAATGTCGTTTGAAATGCTCTTCAAAATTACAACATCCGCAGGCAACCGCTGGTTTTTGCGGACCTTCAGGACGTCACCAACTCTCAGATCCCGTGACTTCTTAACGACCTCCAGCACCCCGTTAGGCCCATCGAAACTTAGTACAGTAAATTCCTCAGCATTTGCTTCGGCATCTCTGCGACGGCGGCCAATGTCATCCAGCGCCTCCTTTCCAAGCGAAATACTAACAACGAAGGCTAAAGGCGCAATATAAGATGACATGTAACCTATTCGGAGGACCGGAATAATCTGTGAAAGGGCAACGAGAAGGAAGTAAATGTTGAAGAAGAAGGAGAATTCGTTATACAGAGTGCGGGGCAAGAAACTCCAGGGAGTGTACTTGGCGTTCGATACGACATTCGCGGGATACTTGATTCGTTGCATCTGGCCGACGAGGATATCGCGCGGCGGTTTCGTCTCGGTCTGTTCTGAATCGTATCTTGTTGTACGGCTTGAGCCAAAGAGAAAGCTGGCCGCCTTGATCCCCGGAATCCTAAACCGCGACCCCCTTTGCGACACCCGTTCCAAATCCGCCAACGAGCGAGCGGAGCTACGCCGGCGTTCATTCAGGAGCGGAGCATCGTCGTCAGTGAAGTTGCGGGAGCTCGCGTGCGACCTGCGGAGTCCGTCGTCCTCGCGCTCTTCCAGAAGGCCGGCCGTGTCCTCCGATGGTCCATGTGCCCCGGAAGCGTTTCGTCGCCATACTCGATTTCCCATGCCAACTCGTAAGTTCCGCAAAGCTATGCCGGGACCGCGACTCCGTTGGTGATTCGACTCATCTCGTGACCGGCGAGGAGATCCATATAAGTGGGTGCTGCTCGGATCAAGTTCCTCCAAATCGAGGTCGTCGTCGGAACCAGAGTCGCCCGCGATACTGGCACGACCATGTGGGTGGAGGTAGTCGGACGAGGAAGGCATAGTAAAGACAGTCGGAAAGGAGTCAAAGAGGTTGTATCATGTACAAGGAGCGATATGGGGGCTCCTGTGTTGACAAGAAAAGTGTCATGTCACGCTGAGCGGTAACCAAGGTGTCTCCGAGGCACCATTGCTCGGTATAGCTGGCTGGGAGGCGGACTTATGCAGTTGGTATTCGGATGCGCGTAAACGGAGATACCTATAGATGGCGAAGAGGGTAGGTAGGCAAAGTAGGTTGATATATAGTCAGCACAGTGCACATCCCCATAAAGTTCGAGTCCACCACGACGTCAGTCTGAACCATTCGAGGAACAAGAGAATAACGGGGATAATCTTGGTGGCCTAAAGCGGTTGCGATGGCAGGCGGAGACAGGGCGGGATCACATGATGTCGGAGCCACCAAAGGAGAGGGCGGTTGTGGCGCAGTGACCAACTGGTCAATTAGCCCGTCTTATTAGTTCAAGTTATCTGAAACGGCGATGTCATCAGCGGAGTCAATGGCAACATAAGTTAATCATACGCTGTAGAATAGCTAATGGTTATTGATGGCATTATTGGCTTCCTATTCACACAGCATAATGCACGGGCTTTCATCCGGTGACCAAGGGGGGTTCTCCAAGAGGAATATCCGATCTACTTGTAGGGCTACTCAAATTGGTAAAAGAGTTGACGAACATGCAGCACTAGTCTCTCTCTCTCTATCTTCTATCTATCCCGCTCAATCAGCTCCATCTCTGGATCGGGGCGATGCACCACGTGACCCAACGCAGGAAAGAGGTAAGGTGGCACTTCCGCCCCGGGACAACCAATCTTCCAGCCCCGGGATGACGGGCGCGTCCCAAAGCCGGGCAGGTCATTATTATTATTATTATTATTAACTAGCCAGTCAGCCAGCGCCGGTGTGCAGCAGCATCATAAGCCCGCAGCCCAGGCACTGCAGCACTTTGTCTGGCTTTTCCCCCCCCAAGACAAAAAAGAAAGACAACTTCCGGAGATGCAGTCATGATTTTATACTCCACTTACTTCTTGTAATGCTTTGTTATTGGACCCGGTCTCCTGTGTCCTTCTTATTCTATTTTATGTTCCAGTAAATCACCTATTCTAGCATCTACGGTTTATCTCCCCGTCGGGTTTCCGGGTGAGTGCATCTGCAAACGTGTCCTATATGCGGCCTGGGTCTGACGATTGCTTCCCAGTGAAAACCCCCAGCTTTTGGCAAGTATGGCGCAGAGTGACGTGGCAGCCGTATGGAATCCGGCGCTCAGATCAGACGACAATGCTACCCCCGTTCCGACTGGCCCGGCAAGTTTGGAGATCGATACCTCGATAGAGGCCACCACCATCCCTCTCGGCTCGCCTATGGAGACACCGCATGAATATTCGATCAGCGACATCGCTTTCCCGGATTCCGACACTGCTGCCCCGCCGCAAGAAGCAGCTAGCCCGGATATGATTGACACCCAGTCTTTGCCAAACCCCGATCAAATACCCGCTCGCGATGAAGTGCCCGAAGCTCCCTCGGGCGATGATGAGACGACACCGGAGATAAGCGACGACCATGAGACCCCGGGTCTGGATGCACCGCAGACGGAGTATGCCCAGGACAATGAGGATGTGCCTCTGGATGATCCGAAGGACGAGGTAACGGAAGCCCAGGCTGCCCAGCCCCAAGCCGAGGAGTCTATCCTGACCGAGGCTACCGCCGCGCAAGATATGGGTGTGGAGGAACAAAGTACTACACCTCACGCCGGCGAACAGGATGCGACTGAACCCGCACATACCAATGGTGAGGCCCAGAGCGGCCATGACATTTGGGGAAATACTGCCAATGAGGAACCTGCGGAGGATGATTTCTTCAACCAGCTGAAAACACAGACGAAGCCCATCTACGTGCCTCCGGAGAATAATGAATCTCGTTTCGAAGAGGGCGTTCCATTGCTGGATGATAGTGCCGAATCGCCAGTTGAGCCGACTGCCGTAGAGGAAAGTCAGACCGATAATTTTTTTGCCGGCGATGATGACGAAGATGATGGGTTTTTCAAGGCTGTCCAGAGTGCTCCGCCTCCGGACGAATATCAATCAGCGTCGCATATCACGCGCAAGAGCACCTTCCAAGTCATGGACTCCCTCGGTGTTTCCTTGGACTCTCCGATGAGCGAAGCGGATCCTGCTGCGCAAGAGTTTGATAATGCTCTCGCTGCAGCAGCAACGGGTAACAGTATAAAGGAGTCATCTGAAGAGAAGCCGGCCGCGCAAGATCTCGACAATGTTCTAGCTGCTGCGGCTTCAGACGACAGTGCTGAAAAGCGATCTCCCGAGGAGGATCCTGCTGCGCAGGAGCTCGACAATGTTTCCGCTGCCGCGACAACTAATAACACCGTTGAGATATCAGCATTTGAAGAGGACCCGGCTGCGCAGGAGTTCGATAACGTTCTCGCTGCTGCGACAACCAACAACAATGTTGAGATTTCAGCTTTTGATGAGGACCCGGCCGCGCAGGAGTTTGATAACGTTCTCGCTGCTGCGACAACCAATAACAATGTTGAAATATCAGCTTTCGAAGAGGACCCGGCTGCGCAGGAGTTCAATAATGTTCTAGCTGCAGCAGCAACGGATAATACCGTCAAAAAGTCATCTTCTGAAGAGGATCTAGCTGCGCGCTGGCAGGCCGAGCTTTCTGAAGAAGAGGCGGAGGTTGCTCCCTCCGAAGACGACTTGGCTGCGCGGTGGCAGATGGAACTCGATGATGACGACGACCTACTTCTAGAGGATGACATCGGAGGAGCTACGACTGAACAGGCACCGACGAGCCAGGATACCAATGGGGCCACTGCCGGCGCTGCTGTCCCAGGATTGAATAGTCCTTTCGGGACCCCACAGTCTTCACAGTCTTCTGTCAGACCCAGTGCAACAGCAACTGCTTATACGCCGCATCAGCCGTCCACGTCGGATTTGCTTCAAGGGATCCCTGTGCCCGGTGCAGCGCCTCCTACAAACATGGCCGCCTCTGCGGACTACTTTACGCAACCGCCGCGACCAAATGTCACCGCAAACAAAGCAGAAAGCTTTGCCGAACGGGCAAAGGAAGGCTACAGGTCACCATATGATCTCCCGGAGGATCTCACACGACCTCGACGGCCTGTGGCTAGTCATAAGCCAGTGGTTACACAGCCGGGTATCACTCCACCTCCCCCACGAAGCAATAGCATTCCAGTTCCTCCGCCGTCAACTTCCATGCCACCACCTTCCTTGGGAGCGCAGCCGGATGGTGCACAATCGACCGCCAAGGTAGCCGCTCCGAAGAACTTCTATGAAGAGCTCCCTCTACCCCCGCCTCGGCCACAGTCTCGGCCAGCAAGCTCGGGACGGTATACCCCTGGTGCCAACGCAATGCCATCCGCGCCATCTCATCCGCCTCCCCCGCCGGCCAATCCATATGCTAGCCTTTCCACTGCTCCCCCGGCAGCGGCGGATGCTTATCCCCAGCCTCAAGTTCAGCAGCCCGAGCGGCTAGATCCGTATGCAAGCCTGTCCGCACCCGGTGCTCCAAGCGGCCCAGCTCCTCCTAGTGCTACTTCGAGGTACTCGCCGAAGCCACCTACTCTGCAAGCCGGAATCAAACCTCCGTCTTCGCCTAGATATTCGCCGGCGCCTCCCCCGGCGACCGATCCCCCGCCACGCAATCGCTATGCTTCTCAACCTTCCGCTCCACCCTCGCAGGGAGTTGCGCTTCCATTCCAGCCTCGCACGTCAAGCCCTCTGGCTTACCATGAGAAGGTCTCTTATCGTCCTCAAGAGCAATCAGAACAACGACGTTCCTCCATGGAACAGCCAGCTATCGTTCCTCCTATTGAGGTACAATCGCACCCGACTGGCCCTGCTGAGTATTCCCCCATTCAGCCGCCTGTAGCCGCGCACGTTCCGGAAGCTGTCAACATCGGTGCCAGCGTGCATCAAATGTCGCAGCAGCCGATGTCGCCTCCTAGGAACCAGTATGCTCCTCCTGATTATGTTGACGAATTCTCCAAACGCATTGCCCCTATTGCCAACGTTCCACCAGCGCCTGTGCTCCCATCGGATGATCCGACCTTCGTTCCTCCGCGTAGGTCGCTGACACAGTCGCCAAGTCAGCAAACGCTTGGGCCGAGGTTGTCCGTGCCATCTGTGGATACCCTACAGAGGCCTGCATCTGTTCATGGAGCGGGGTCTCCCACCAAGGCTGTGAACCCCTACGCACCAGCTCCGATGTCTGCACATAACCGCGTCGCCTCTCAGTCACTGGACTTTATCCCTCCTACCGATGATCAACAGTTCGATCCCCTGGAGCGCTGGAAGGGGGCTCCTATTGTCAAATTTGGATTCGGTGGCTCAGTCCTTTCCTGCTTCCCTAAGCATATTCCTCGATACTCTGCCGGCCAAGCTATTCCGAAGATCAAGTCTACTCCTGGAGAGGTCAAGACCCATCAACTCAGTCACTGGATTCCTGTACCCGATACTATTGCGCGTCATCCGGGGCCGCTGAAATCCAAGTCCAAGAAGAAGGATCTGCTTGCTTGGCTTTCTAGCAAGATCGCTGCATTTGAAAATGAGGGCATCCCCCAGACTGTCTACATGCATGCGGACTCACAGAAGAGAAGCGAAGAGAAGATACTGCTGTGGAAGGTCGTTCGGGTCTTGGTTGAACATGACGGTGTTCTGGAAGGATCGCCTGAAATTCTGAAGTCCCTACGCCAAATCATCTTCCCGCATTTGCAGGATGTTGACTCCACACAGCCCTATGGTAATGGCTTGCCATCCTTTAGCACAACCCAGCCGTTGGATGCTCCTTCTCGTCCCGATGCCGCCGATCCTCAAGCGGTTGAGAGCATTCGCAACAGCCTTCTGGTGGGGGAGCGTGAAAAAGCCGTTTGGGGCGCTGTTGACCATCGCCTTTGGGGACATGCCATGATCATAGCGTCAACAATGGACAAATCTGTGTGGAAGCAGGTTGTCCAGGAATTCGTAAGACGCGAAGTGAGATCTGCCTCTGGTAACACAGAATCACTTGCAGCGCTCTATGAGATTTTTGCCGGCAATGTCGAAGAGAGCGTTGACGAGCTCGTACCCCCCTCTGCCCGAGCTGGATTGCAGATGGTCAGCAAGGTTGATGGACAAGGAGCATCTAAGAATGCGCTGGATGGCCTCGACAGTTGGAGAGATACCCTCGGTCTGGTGCTGAGTAACCGCAGTTCAGAAGACTACCAGGCGCTATTAGCTCTTGGCAGGCTCTTACAGTCGTATGGCCGGACCGAGGCTGCGCACATTTGCTTCATCTTCTCCAGAGCTGCTGTGTTCGGCGGGGTGGATGACCCGCAGGCAAGCGTCGTCCTCCTTGGCGCTGATCATCAGCACTTGTCTCTCGCTGCTCTACAGGATGAGGACTCTATTCTTCTGACCGAAGCTTATGAGTACGCCACCTCTGTTCTTTCGGCTTCTCCTAAGCCGACGCTTCCCCATCTGCTTGCTTTCAAGTTGGTGTATGCGTGGTCTTTGGCGGATCAAGGCCGCAAATCGGAAGCTCAGCAATACTGTGATGCGATTGCAGCTACCCTGAAGGCAACCACTAAGCCATCGCCCTATCACCATCAGCACCTGTACTTCGGTGTTGACGAGCTTTCCGCACGTCTCAGACAAACAACAAGCGACGGAGGCTCATCCTGGATATCCAGACCCAGCATGGAGAAGGTCTCTGGCTCAATGTGGGCTAAGTTCAACAGTTTTGTTGCCGGCGAGGACAACGAAGCTGGGTCTGCCGGTTCAGCAAAGGCTGGCGATGGAGACATCGGCCCCTTTGCCAAGATCGCAGGTACCCCTACTGTTAGTCGCTCGCCATCGGTGTCGGATATCTACGGGTCGTACTCTGCGCAGCCGAGCTACAGTAGTGGCCCGTCACGTTACCAGCCAAATAACCAGTATGCTCCAACTTCTTCGCCTGAACAGTTGCGTGGCAGATCGTCTCTCGACTCTCAAAGATCTTCTTCCTATGGGTTTGGTTTGGCCCAGCGACGCGGCTCGCAGGAACCTTCCACTCCGGTTGAGAGCAACATGTACCAAGGAGGAATGCTGTACAACTCCCCGCCGGCTGTTGGTTATCAGTCGACCCCTCCTCAAACGTCTTACATGCCTCTTGCACCCGTCAAGGAAGACCTGGCTCCTCAAGCTCATGCCGAAGCCTCGACTGGTTCTGTAGAACAGTCTTACGGCAGCGGATCTCCGTATCAGCCCGCAGGTTATGGCTCTTTTGACCAGCCATTCATGAACCCGGCTCCTTCAGACGGGGGTGGCTATATGCCTCCAGGTGTGAGCAGCGGTTATGAGCCTCCTGCCATTGAAAGCCACTCAGAACCTGCAGCGGCACCATCGGAAGAAGTCAACGAAGAAGCGCCGGCGAAGAAGAAGTCCTTTATGGATGATGATGACGATGATGATATCGCCGCGCGTGCCGCAGCCGTTCAGAAGGCTGAAAAGGCACGCAAGGATCGCGAAGCGGATGAAGCTTTCAGAAAGGCTGCAGAAGCGGATGGTGAGTACTCGTCAACTTCTTTAAGATGAGATTTATACTAACATATTACTTGTAGCCCAAAAACCTGCACCCGCTAAGAAGTCTTGGTTCGGAGGCTGGTTCGGAGGTGCTGGTGGTGGCAAGAAGGAAGACCTGAACCCCAACAAGCCTATCCGAGCCAAGCTCGGTGAGGAGAACTCATTCTACTACGACAAGGATCTAAAGAAATGGGTCAACAAGAAGGACCCCAACAGCGCTACCGCTGCGCGCGCTACCCCGCCGCCGCCGCGTGCTTCAGGACCTCCTAGTAGAACGGCCAGCGGTAGCAGTGCAGCACCACCACCTGCGGCCAGTGCATCCCCAATGATGCCGCCTCCCAGTAGTCGGCCGCCTTCTACTACAGGAATGCCTCCTCCTCCGGGCAGTCCAGCTCTGTCTTCTCTGGGTGTAACCCCACCTTCAATCCAACGGTCCGTCTCTACTGGTGCCGCTGTTTCCACGCCTCCAAGCGGATTAGCAGCACCCCCAAGGCCAGCAACTTCCCTTAGCAATGCCAGCTCCATCGATGACCTGCTTGGAGCACCAACGGCTCGCAAGGGCGCAGCCGCCAAAGGAAAGAAGAAGGGGCGCTATGTCGACGTAATGGCAAAATAATCCCATCTTACACCTCACTTTGCCAAGTCCGCGGAACCTCAAAACACTGCGGCCATTACATCCGGACCCAGTGTCGGCTTATTCTATATCACCTCACTATCCGATAATGTCTAACGAATCTCCTCCTCGATTCACCATATTTGCATTTGACACTTTATGAAGCGCGTCCTGGCTTTTGCCTGGTTTTTAGACCCTCAAAAGTCTTGCATGCTGTCTTCTCAGAGAGCAAGACGGCTTCTTTCGGGCGTTGTTTGCATGAACCCAACCCCTTATTCTTTTTATTATTATTATTACTTGTATGTTGTATTTGTGCATATATCATGGTTTATTCGTTTTTATTATTTCTATGTTTTTCTTTTTTCTTTTTTGTTTGTTCTATTTTCCTTTGTTCTCTCTGATGATGCGGATTATGGAGATGGACGAAACCGAACTTGATGTCGGAGGTATCATGATGCCTCGTGGCAAGTGTACTATATGGCTCTTGTGCATGATTAATTAATTGATTCATATCTTGAAGTAATATTCGGGGCACCTAAATACCTAGTAGGTAAGTTGTTATATACGTATTGCCATACATGCATCCCGCATGAGCACTGATCTTCTGTATTTTCGTAAGATAATTATAGGAGGCCCCTATTTCCATCTAAACCGCATAAGAAGTAATATAATACTGCACAAATCCAGTCAGCGACACCCTACAACAACCCAATAAGTGAATGGAATAGTAACTCACCGTCAGACACGAATCCTGCTCATTCCAACTCCCCGGCAAAAAGACATACAGCACCAGAGCCGTTTCGTTAATAAACGCTAACCCCGTTCATTCATTAGCCCCATATTCTCATCGAAGTAAATGCAAAAAAAAAGGAAAAGGAATCCTTACAAGCAACAACCCTCGGATTCAACCTCCCGACACTCAAAATCCGACTCCAATCCTTCCCATCAATCCTCACCTTAGCCCACCCAGCCTCATCATCCGCCGGCACCTCCCTCATCCGCTCACTCGGCAACTGACCCAACTCTCTCCCCTCGTCCAACTGCCCGGGATCCAAACTCGGATTCAACAGATCCGTCCAGACACTGGATATCCGGAACGCGTCCGTCCCGACGGCTACTTTGAGCGAGCCGTGCATGTTAGCGGAGAGTTCTAGCTTCGGTGATGATAGTGATGGTGTTGTTGACGTGGCCCCTCCTGCTGTTGCTGCTGACGATGTTTTGTTGGAAGAATTCGTGGTAGCTAACTTGGTAAACCGCTCCGAGATACTCTTTAGCTGGATCAAGCTCGGCAGGAGGATGTTTACATCTGGGTCTCGACACCGTGGCTGGTGGAGTCCTTCCACGGCGGATTCGTGGAGTACCTTGATGGGGATTTCCTGGGTGATTACGGTTTCGCGTTCTCGGGGTCCGGTGCCGGAGGGTCTAGCAGTGGTGGTGGTGGTGCTGTTGTCGATGGTGGATGAGGAGTGATCTGTTGCTGCTGCTGTTTCTGGGATGTCGAGGGCATTGGATGTTGTTGTCCATGATGTAGCGCGAATCGTTAGTGCTAGGAGAGGTACGTTGCCCTTTTTGGTCAGTCGCAGGTTGGATAGTTTGGCGGATACGGCGGAGCGTAGGGCGCGGTGGAGAGCGCCGATGGGGACTTCGAGGTTGATTGCTCCGGTGTTGGATTCACAGATGTAGGATTCTTCTTCGAAGATGGTGTCCTGATGATCGTTAGTCTACGTTTTGAAAGAGTGGGAAGTTGAAGAGGGGAGACGTACGATCGGGAGTTGAGCCCATACTTGTGTGCCTTGGTCGGGGATGATGGTGAAGCGGATGAAGTCTTTCTCAAGACGCATCCAACATACCTTTCCCAAGGAAGAGAGGGAGGCGGTTAGTTCTGGGGAGAGGAGGGGAATGTGGAGTTAGTATGGGGGGGTTGCTTGGATTGTATGGGATGGTGATGGCGGCGGTTCGATGAGACACGGTTTGGCTTGATTTGACTGGGGGAGCTTAGGTGAAAGGGATAGGCGATGGGGAAGTCACTTACTGGAGAAGATAGACGCGTTGGCTATTTGGGTTCGAAAACGCATCTTGATTTCAGGGAATTACTTGCATGGATAGAGATGTGATGCTACGCTAGTCCACCGGTTTGAAGCCGGAGACGGGTCGAGACTCGAGCAGAGGTGCCTTATCGATGATAAGTTCGGGGATCGGCCGCGCCGGTGGGGATTTCCCGCTAACCCGCGAACCAAACTTCGCGCAGAAAAGGGGATCGCCATTGCGGCGGGAATAAACAGACTACCCTACTCGGTACGTCGATGATTGAGATTCAGCTATGTAAATGAGTATCCATGATTGAGATCACATATTGAGAGTCATATGGGTGATATCCCGGAAGATTGATCGCTATCAGCATGTTCAATTGGTATCACCGAGGCATACAATGGATCCCTAAGCATCGTGGTCTGTATACTAGCCACGAACAGCGCAAGCACAATAACAGCTGCATAGAAGATTCCAATGTTATTTCGATGAAACATCAAGCAAACTCAGTCTGTCTACGGGCTGTGAGCAAGTAATCTCTCACGGACATATCTCCGCATACTTCGGGGTGGCGCTCAGCGCCTCTTCGACTCCATCTCGGACTGAGACTGAGCTTTCAGTGGACCAACCTTGTTATTTTTGGATTCATAATCATAGAGTGTCTATGGCCTAGACTTGATCCGTGTGCCTAGGACTTGCAAGGTACCGTCTTCTCCCACTCCTCCTTGCGGCTGTCGAGTTAGTGGGATGCCCCCCTGAAGTAGGAACAGTCGTATCCATGGTTCCATGGGGATGTCTCCCACGTGGTTCGTAGCATTCCTCGATTGCTTCATCTTCCTTACATGTCTCGTCCTTACTGACACAATAGTATACTACTGTATGGTAAGGTTCTTCCATCTCAAGGGATCACAAACGGGTGTCCGTCCCTTGCTCCCTTTTGGGAAGGGAAAGTCCAGGCACCAAAGGATCTTCCTCCATTGTTGAGTTAGTATCCCTGTTAATGGGGTTGTATTTTGGGTTCATCTACAATGCCTACTCACTGAGGGGCTCTGTTATTTGTCGCAGGACCAACCTATGTATAGTATCCTGTTTATGCCGTTCTTTCGGATCCTTGCCTGATCCTTGAGGAGTGTCGAGGCTCTCACGAAGGGAAAGGTTGCCTTGTCGCCTGGTAGCTATCTGTTCTACCACGACGACAACCAGCTGGAGTCGCAATGTAGCAAAGTACACGTCAATGAACGAGTAGAAGTGGCGGGCCAAACACGATTAACCTCGGATACAGAGCAACGATGAAGGTAAGACCACTTCAACGGCTGCAAGACACAGTGGGTAGTGTGTTAGGGTACGTGGGTAGGCGGAAGTGCACGAAAGGGAGACACAGACATAATCACTCCCCAAAGGCAGCTCACAAAGTCCAAGAACCAGCCAGATACGTTATGCAAGGGAGGGTCGATCACTGATCTGCTATCCGTATGATAAACTTCTGCGCTCGAGCAATCAGAAGCAAGAACAGAAAGAGATTATTGACAAGCGGTCGAAGTCAATTTTATCAATTTTTCATCGTGCACGACCACTTAGGGCCGCACTCCCATGGACTGTCAATTCAGTTGATTTCCCACGGATTAATACAAGAGGCACGGCCATTTATTCTGATGACCATACACAGAACACAAGTCAGACAGCGGATCTTTACGGGGGAAGGAGGACCCGCATCAACTCCGAGGGGGAATGTGTCTGTTCTTTTGCTGCTGCATGGGACTGGATCCTCGTGTGTGAGACATTAAGGAGGGGGTGGGAGATTTTCCCTTCTGTAAGTACGATGTCGCACAGGAAAATGTGCATTTTGAAATGCTGGCATCCTCCTAAAATGGATGGATACATGAGATCCCAACTATGCTGCATCGATCGAGATTTCTTTCAAGTTTCTCTGCTTTCGCTTTGTGAGGGGAGGGGGAAGGATGATTACTTCCGGTTGGTCTAGGAAAAAAAACAAGGCGCGAATGAGAAGGGGAGAAAAGGAAAGGGAAGTAGTACAGTTGGCAGATGGTGAGGCTAATTAGTCGCCAATTTCACAGGGCCAGCACAGTAGTAATAATACTGCTAACTTATCAATGCAATAATTATTACAACAATAATAATCACAAAAATAACCATCATAAAAATAATGAAGAGAAATAGAATAAAAATAAAATAACTGACATTCTTAACGGAGAATCCACAGCTCGGTAATTGGTGTTAGTTAAGTGATTTAGTTAGCTAGTTAACTAACAGTGTATACTTAGTAACTTGGTCTGGTCTTAAATTCCCCCTTAATCGATTGGCGGCGGCTCCACCCTTTTTTCTGGCATCGCCAAACCCGCGCGTCTCCGTCCACGCCATCACCAACTCACCTCTGCATATCCCCCCCCCCGTCTTCGAATCATCGTCGCCATTTCTGGTCTCGTCACTCTTTTTCCATCTGGGCCCAAACCTGAGCTGGTCTCTCCGATCATCCTAATCATCCCAATCATCCCACCCTCGTTCTTTTTATCTATCTATCGGGCTCTTCCTGCAGCCACCCAACTTTCCCTCGCCCTGGGCTCCCCTCAGCCGTTTTGAGGCCCTGCAGTGTGATCTATCATCATCCGCCGAAACTCTGCTCCTCCAGAGTTCTTATTCCCTCACTTTTCTTTTTCTCGCCCTAGTTCCTTTTCTTCATTCTTTTGTCAGACCTTTTCCCCCGGTGTCCTGTCTGCTCACGGTGCTCCGACATATACCCTACCTACTGATTCATTCACTGCACCTCCGCAACTTTCCCATCCGGTGATCGCGATTGTACCAGCTCATCCCCAATCTCACCATACCAACCCACCCCCCCCCAACCTTCTGGCTGTCACCTTTATATAGCTTTGGCGGGATCGCGTCAGCATGCTCGCTCTTCAGCTACACCCACTCTCTTTTACACTTGATACTACAGCTCGACCCCCATCACCGAGAACCCGTTATTGATTATTCCGCGACTGACCTGACCCGCTTGTCTGGGAGCCCTCGTCCTCCCGGAGCTTGCCGTTCTATCCCGACATGGCCAGCAGTCGCGTCAACCCCCTTCACCCACCCACTCGTCCTCCCACCACCGCGCGGTCCCAACAATCACCGGGCCGTCCGGCGGTGCTGAACTATCAGAATCTCGATCCTTTACTCGGCAACCTGTCTCCCGAATCAACCCTCCAAGCGCTGTCCGCAACCGACGCCGTGCCCCGGAACGAACAGGCCGCCCACGATATCCTCTCTAAAAGTATCTCGCAGGTTTCCCCAGCGGAGCGCGCCCTCGGTATCCGCGCAGCCATTGTAGCCCAGAAGCTCAACCTATGGTACAAAGAAGTCCAGTCTTGGGAATGGCCGAAACGGAGTGACATTCAACTAGGCAAGGGCTTCGTCCCCCCTCCAGGCGCTGCCGCGGAGGAGTACTGCGGGAGCCTTCCTAAAGCCGTAGTAGATCAGCATGAAAAGCGGATTGAGGAGATCCGGGATGGTATGGATGTCTTGGATGTGGATGAGCTTAAAGAGCACGTCCTCAATGCCCACATTCCAGCCCGGTCTCGGCCTTCATCAGCCAATAGCACCTTGTCGGTGCCTCCACCACTCAGCTATGTTCAACTCAGTGACTTCACGGCCGTCATCACCGCCACCATTCTCCGCGCTCTGCCGCTTCTCTCGCGCCTGAACAGTCTCTTATCTACCTGGGACGTCCGATTGTTGGTCCTGCGCCAGGTACCCGAACTGCTCCGGCGACTGCGTCTGGCGCGCTCGGAATTGGATTCTGCCTTGGACTTGATCAAGTCGCCCACTCTTCCTGACGAAGATGGCCCCTTGTACTCTCGCATTAACTATCATGCCAAAAGGGCTACCTTGGAACTGACTGTTGTGTCTGCTGGTCGACAATTGGACCGCGTACTTGATGCGCTTGAAGGACGTGAGGACTCACTTCCGGAGAGCTGGATTGATGAACTAGAGGCTATCGAGTCAGAATTCGGAACATGGGTCATGGAAGCCGAACGACGTACTGTCGAAAACGAATGGCGCCGGTCGATTGTCACCGCTGAAAAAAATGCCCAATACAATGCACCAGAGACAGCGCCGACACAAGCACCACCCGAGATTAGAGAACCTGAAAAGCTGGCCCTCAATACGTCTGCGCCCGTGTCACAGGCTGGCCATCTGTTTCCAATGGAGACTATTGCCGAGGAAGAAGTTAGCAGTCCTGTCGAGCCGTCACCCTCGAATGACGCCCAGGATGATAAGAAAATAACGGCGTCGGAACCGGCCGTCACGCCTGCTACTCATATTGTGAACGAAGACCTTGCATCTCCCAGTACATCTGATGCGACGGACTCTCTGATCAAACCTGTTCAGAGCACCGTGTCCATTGCCTCTCCACCGGAACCCTTGGCATCTGGCTCCACCGTCAACACCCTTGCTCTCTCTCCCGATGGCTTAGAAGAGATAGATGCCCTGACGGATGAATCCCAGGCGCGTCAACCAGTCATTTCGGAGGTTACCCAGCCTCTGGAGGAGGGACCGGAGACGAGCATTGAGACGAACACATGCAATGACTCGCCTCCTGATCATCCCGATTCCAAACATCTTTTCATGCCGCCTTTTCCTCGAGAGGCGATCACTTCTGTGCCGTCTGTCAGCTTGTGCGAAACCTGTCCGAGTTCACTTGAAGACGTGACACCTCGGGCTTCTTTAGATATTCAGGCTTGCGAGGCAGTCTCAACCGACCCTACCAAGAAGGCTGCAGATGCGCCTGCATTGTTGGAGAAGGAAGAGTACGCTGATGTTCTGCCGGCGTCGGGGTCTGACGTACTTCGTCATTCTTCGCCCGAAGTGAAATTGCAGACCCCTGCCAGCCCTGGGACACCATCATCGGATGCCGGTAGTGTGATTGTACGTCGACGAACCAGTCCAGTCCAATCGCCTCTCAGCCAACAGGAAAAGCTTTCCACGGATAAGGAAGCGGTACCGATTGATGCTCACAGCCCTAGTCCCGTGTTTGAAAGCCGCGAGCAACGGCAGCTTATTCCTGTTGAGAGTGAAGTTGCTAGCCCAGTCAGTGTGGCGGCCCCAACCAATTCCGCTGATAGTCCTGCTGCACAGTCAGGAAGCTGGAAAGACTCTTGTAAATTGGTGCCTGCGAATGCTGTCCTTGAATCTCCTGTCCGCTCGGCAATCTCTAAAATTGATGAGCAGCCCACAAGTCACTCCACAAACAATGTGCATGAAGAGTCCCGTGGTGGCAATACGCCCAAAAAGCCTCTGGAGAGTCCTATCAAATTATCAAAGTCCCGACCAGGACGCTTATCCTTTGAAAAGGAGAAAAAACAATCTCGAGGCCGGCGCACGTCTACTGATTCGTCTTGTTCGGATTATCCATCACTCGTCTCCAGCCCTGAGATTCGCGAGCCCCGTACATCCTCCTCCAATGGAACGCCTCTGCTGCTTGAGACTCCTCCACCATTCCAGGATGGCTACCAGTCATCCGACCCCGTACCACCTGGGAGCGATCACACGTTGCGAGAAGATCGTTTACTCCGTCTGGACAACCAAAAGCCATCCCCACGTGCCAATTTCGCGCATAATCGAAATCTCAGTCTTCCATTGCAGCGTTTCATCAACGAAAGGTTGGAGATGAATTACGATGACGAAAGCGGCAGTGACTTGGATGGCGTCGCTTCCAATAGGAAGTCCACGGACGTGTATGCGGATTTACGGCTGGGCCAGAAAAAGGCACTGTTGCCTGCACACATCAGCAAATTCACCATCCCCTCCGATACCGCACCACGCTCAGCAACCCAGCCTTTGGATGCACCGAGTCAAGGCAGCCCTAGACCGGTCACCAATGGCACCACCGCCAAAGTTCTATCCAAGGCCTGGGAGCACAAGAAGGGCTCCATTCCGAAGAATGCAAACCGTAGTGGTCTGCAACCGGAACCGCCTGTACATTCAAGCACCCACCGCTTGAGGAGACAGTTGACTTCGCATCCTAGTCTCGAGAGTATTGGGGCGTATAGATCCAACGCCCGGTCTGGCGATGACACGTCTTCAGTTACAGCTATTTCCAGGGGTGGATCTCGACCATCAACTCCAGGCTCGCAGCTGAGAAGAACCAAAGATCATCTCGACGAGAAAATCAGTTCTATCTTGTCGACCCTTCCTGCTCGGATCCATCTGATGTCAGCTGATGGCCAGGACTTTGATGCGGGCTCTGCGGTGACGTCAATCCCCTTGAAGGCTAGGGAACGATTCCGTTCCATATCGCCCCAGGGAACGCCGTCCCGGAGCAGCACGCCCACGCCATCCTTGACCCTGACAGCTGCGCCCTCGCGCAGGAGGTATTCTCATGCACACGCCCCAGAGGAGAGCTCCGTGAAGCTCTACCACCTGCATCGAGGTGGAAAGTCTGCCCCGACCAAACTTTTTGTTCGGTCAGTGGGAGAAAAAGGAGAACGCGTTATGGTCCGAGTTGGCGGTGGGTGGGCAGACCTGGCTGAATACCTGAGGGAGTATGCCATCCACCATGGACGCCGGCATGTTTCAGATACCCCTCGTGTCGAAGTCCAGGGTCTGTCCACGCGTACCTCTCCCACGTACTCCGTCAGTGGGCGCCGCACTCCCTCCCGACCGCGGTCTGTCATTGGCAATCGGCCGTCTTCTTCATTGGCTGTGCGCAAGACCAGACGTACTTCGAATGTGTCGGATGTAACCGAGTTCCGGGCGGCGCAGGCAGCTGGCGACTCACTCACTGCCTCGTACTCGCCTATGTCGACAGTCTCATCTCGCAGAAGACTATCAGCCTCATCCAATACCTCCATGGGCGCTGCCTCTTCGGCCAGTGAATTCCGTCACGGATCGTACTCTCCTTCCACCACTGCTGCAGGTAGCAATTCTCACTCCATCCCACTCGGCCTTGCAGGGCCGAAGCCGCGGTCGAGAAATGTCTCGATCAGCCCGGAGAGTGAGGCGTGGGTTGAAGATGTTCTTGGCCAAGCTCGGAGGAGCTCGTCCCTCAGGCCATACAACTATGGCCTGTCAACCCAGGACCCGGAGCCTGCTTCAACCAAGGCTCCAACCATCCCCAAGTCGAGAAGTATCAGCGACCTGGGAATGGCGGGTGCTAGCAGACGCGTCGCACTACGCGGACTTGCAAAACGATAAACCTACTCACACCTTTACCCTAATCTTAATCCTTCCAAACGCCCACCCCATCCACGTTCTTTCTCCCACACGCTCCGCCCCTCCTCTCACCTGCATTGTCTACTAGTACTGGCGTTTTGCCGTTTTCCTGGGTTTCTCGGTTTGGACACACGGGGTACTAAAAGTGTTAGACAGCTACATGCATTGTCCGTTTCCATCTTCTTTTCGGTTGCATTATCGGGCGAATGTTTCACTTTCTTTTCTTTTCCTTTCAGCCTTCTCATAACAAGACATGTGTCATTCTTGTCTTGGCTATGCTATCTTCATCTTTTTCCCACCATTGCATGCATCAGCGGGTTTCCATTCTTGTTTTATCATATCTTTTTCTTCTTTTTCTTTCATCTTGGGAGATGATTTCTTCAACTTTCCGGTCCTGGTTGACCGCATTTTCTATTCTACTTTCGTCTGACTCCTGTCTGACTTGTGTCCGCTTGTTCGTGTTTTCACTTATTATTATATTTAGCCCTCGATTTGTATGTAGATACCCTTAGGTAGGCTTGGGTCTTTTGTTGTTGTTGTTGCTGTCGTTGGTGTCGTCCGTCTTGCTGGTTAGAAAGAAGGGCTGACTGGCTGACTGGCTGACTTGTTTGATTACTTACTTAGTACATAGTGAGGGATTTATATTGAATCTGTTGATACTACTACTTCTATTCATGTTCCGTTTAAAGTTGAACCAGTAGATTCTTGATATCAGAGGTACTAGTAAGGAAGTAGATAAGAGCTCAAGTAAGTAGATAGTAGTAGCAGTACGCGAACGAGAAAGGAATGAGAATGAAAACGCCACCATACCATACCAATCGAACCGAACCTGAACGAACCCGAACGAGAAAGCAATATCCAGATAGTGAGTAGGCATCCATCAATCATTTCATTACATGATACAAAATGAGGAGTTATAGAAATGAATGAAACGTAACAAGCGGGGCATAATTCGTGATTTGGCAATAGACGTCCAAGCTGATCCAGACTGGAGGAGCAGGATGAGAGCACGGTAGTATACTTGACTCTATGACGACTCTCCCTTTGCAGGCTCTTCCTGCTGCTGCTGCTGTTTCGGAGGCGATTTACGTGCCCATGGGATGTCCTTGTGAAACAGTTCCCTCAGTTCCGGGGAGACGACTTTCGTTTCTCCTTCACTGTCCGGTGGTGCTGAGCTGGGGCCGGCACTGACACCGCTGCTGAAGGCGGTGCTTTGAGGTCGTTGAGGCGATTTGCCTTTGCTGTTTGTGCTGGTAGAGGAGTCTTGTGTGGGCTTGCGTTGGTGGGCGGCAGGTGCAGGGAAGTTGTTTTTCTTGTCGATGGCCTGGACGGCTCGTTCGAAGCGGTGGAATAGGGATTCGGCGCGTGTGAGAATGGGGATGAGTTCCATTGTGTTGGAGAGTTCGTTGACTGCGTGGTGTTCGTGTTAGATACTTGTCTTTCAAGTTCTGTGGAAGTGGTTGGTTTCACTTACTGTACTTCAAGACTTCGTCGAACTGCTTCAGGTGGTCCATTATGACATCCCGGTGTTTTTCGAGGATTGCAAGTGCGATGAACAAGTGGAAGCTGCTGGACAGGTAATCGGTCCATAGGGTTTCCCAGAGACGTAAGACGTCTGGCCATTCGAATTCGCGCTTGTACCAGACAAGGAGCATTCGGAAGAAGAAGAAAAAGTTTGTGCTGTCGGCGGATTGCAGGTGAAGGTAGAGTTGAGGATCCATGAGTTGAACGAGGTGGTCTAGAGTGAGAAGTTGTACGCGCATGCCAGATTGGTCGCGGAGGAAGTTCCGCTCCTGTTTGTACTCATCAGCATGATAAAAGTAGAATTGACTGCCATGGAGCTTACCATCCTGTCCATGAAACCAACAAATGCCCAGAATGCCACTGCATCATCCTGCATGACAGCATAAATCGGGGCTAGAAGATCGCTCATGCCTTGCACATAGCCCAGGTCCGGGTTGTATTCGTTGTATGTGAGCAACATATCCTTCATCTGCTCGAGATGCACATTTGTGCCAGTATCCGCAAAAGGCGAATCTGGGTCCGGGTGGGGAATGTCTTCTCCAGCAAACAGGGGTATCGTACGGTCTGTGCGATGAACATCCTTTTCTGCGCGCCTATGTAAGTAGATGCGCATGATACTTGGACTGCAGAAGAACTCACCTATTCTATTTCTCTGCTCTTTCCACCAATCAAACTCTTCCGCCGAAGAAGTGCCTTCAATCATCCGTTCCCACCAGGCGCCTTTAAGCCGGATGTACTCATCCCGCTTCGAGTTCATCAACGCTTGTCGCTCCTCGTGGCTGCTATCCCACGGATATACGCCTAGAAGGTAGAGCCATGCTTCTTTCCTAACACCATCATTCGGATCTAATCCACCATGGAATATCCTTTCCTTAACTTCGTCAACGGTTACATGCAGTCTTCCAGTAGTCGGGTCAAAGAAGCCCTCCCACTCTTGCAGAGTGAGTGTCTTCCGACGGTCCTGGATAGACATGGTACCTGTTTCGAGGTCAAGGATCTCGAAATCTCCAACAGAACTGTTCTCCATGCTAAGGACATCTTGGGCAGTGTATATCCGTTGGTTCCTTTCGTGTTCACTTTGCTCTGATATGCTCATGGCCCACCGTGCTAAGTATAGCCTGGCGCTATCGAACTCGTCCTGTAACGTCTGAATTTCAGGTGTCCTCATCAGACGGCGGACTTGTGGGGGTATCCGAGGGTTGTCAGCTAACTCGTTGGCGGTACGCCTTGTGAAGGTTGTGATCTTGCTCAGCTGCTCGAGGACCTTCCACCTCGTCTCCTTGAGTGCTTTCACAAAGGGGTCCATCCCCGCATCGCGTTGGCCGCTTCCGCTCGCCTGAGCAACGGCAGCCGGTTCCTCCTGAGCTTTGACAGTCGAGCCATCTGCAGTTAGAGGTCGTCCAAATGATATGCGGTCTTCATCCGATGGGTTAATCAGATATACACTACTGTCCACGGCCGAGCGCTGAACCTCAGCGTATTTCCGCAGCCATCGCAGAACCTCATCCCCGCCCCAGAAGACATTTCCGTCCTCACCAAAAGGATCAAAGCTCTCCCTGGTTCGCTTTTTCTTCTGCAGGATTGTGGACTCGCACTCTGTGTCATGGAAGAACAGCGCGGGGAAGCTGTCGCCTGCGCGGGTGTTGATCACAAGACTCCCAAACCACCAGCCTAGACTCGGAGGTCGCACAAGGAGTGAATATATTTCAGACAGAGGAACTGCGAATGCATAGAGGCCGATCGGGTCCTTATAGGTCGTTGTCGTCGGAAGAGCGGGCACCAGGTATTTCTGTCGCGGAGGGGAAGAACCGTCGGATAGATCGACTTTGACATAGGTACTGTATGCATCACCCAAGGAAGATTCGGGCACCCATGCTAGCAGGTAGGAAGAGAGATCCGACGAGGAGCTTCCGGAGGTAGTACCTCTAAGAGGGGGGAGGGGCTTTTGTTGGACGAGGGCAATAAATCCGGGGATGTTATCTTTCGAGGAAGGAGTTGGATGGACGTAGACCTGCAATGCTCGGAATCGAATGGATCAGCGAGATATTCATTTTTGCAGCTTGCAGATAAGCCCACCTTGCTCTTGGAAAATAAGAGCTTGACTCCTCTGCGTGAGGTGGAGTGAGAGATGGTGTTGTATTCATCCTCCTCATCGTCACTGACGTCGTAGTACGACGCCGTCGGGGAGGGCGGCGAAGGAGGAGGGGTGTATTGGATTCCGTTACCTGCCATATCGAAGGGAGGAAGCGGAGGGGGTGACTTCTTTTCAAGGTACTAAAGTGATTAGAACCTGCTCATAATGCGGACTGAAAGTGAAACTGGATTTCCTTGGAGCTGGTCTGGAATGCCCGGAAAGTCAGCGCCGGTCGGCAAAAGTGATGATTGCGGAGAAGAAAGCAAGTCACGACCGCCGGTCACGACGTAATCGTGGGGTCCACCGCTTCCATGTGATCGCCTTCACATCTCAGAGTGATTAATTCCACTTACCTTGCAAGTTGATTATTTTTTTATATTGTACAGGATACCAAACAGACTGTGTGGAATACGGTGCTGGGATTGAATTTGTAGGTCAACAGTACTTTGCTACTAAGCACCTCCATTGTTGCCACCGGTAAAAAACGATGACTGAATCGCCCAGGCAGCAGCGAAACTATCATATTTGAGATAATCCGCTATCAAATCAATCAATAGCAGAAGAATTTTGTTGCCCAGCAGTATTCCTTCAGTTGGCCCTACTACTTTGGACTGACGAAGCTTGCATCGAGGAGGTTAGGTTTGGTCAACACCAGCAAATACGCACGTTATCCAGAGTGATGCACTGAACTAGACGGGTACCTCCCAACCACAAGACGAATTTATGCTTGATATCGTAGTAACTACTCACCGGTTGGCAAGCTGGAAGACTAGCAGGTTCAATCAGCGCAGGCACTGTGGAATAGTCATGTATCATTATCAGGAGAATATTGCACCTACATATGAAAAGCGTTATCAGCGTCTGTTGAGCAACGGGCGTGGCAATAGAGGGTAGAATACCTCCCGTAACCAGCAAGTGCCTTCGTTTAGTAGCAATTCCAGAGAAAATAGTATAAGTAATGAGTTGTCTGCTCGGAGAAGTAACCTATATCAAAAAATCAGCCCTCCATGCGGCAGGAGTTCTAGAGAGTCCTAGAATGGGCATTTATCAATACTTCTGGTACCATTTAAGTCGATAGCCCTGAGTAGTCCTGATACTTTGCACTCAAAAGTACCCTCTTAGCTTGATGATGCCAAATCCTCAGAACTGTTATCGGCTTCACTCCCTTACCTCCAGTCAGCTCAAGCAGAGAACGACTAAACTAATGCGGACAACCCTACGTGTCTGGCTGACAGGACTGCAACCTTACGTCTGGACCGGTTTCATCTGACCTACCGGCCTTCAGTCATTCGCCAGTACAAAGGAACACGCTTATACTATCTTCGCTACTAATGCACGGGATTTTATACCCTCTTCAGGAAATGATTCGCTATCCAATAGATAATGGTTTCAAGTACTTGAGGATAACAGAGTTCATTGCCTTTGGACACCGGCATCCATAAATACTAGACAGCTGCTTGATGCAGTCTGTAGTCAAGCTGCGTCGACTGCAAATTCAAACTCGCAGCAATGTCCGAACTTATGCGCACTTTGCCAGCTTCCTGGTATTGCAGCCAGCCTCTCTATCAGCTTGAAAGAAGGGCAGTGTTCTTGAAAGTATGATCAAAACCTATCGTCGAGGATATTGGAACACTAATGATCTCCTCAGTCATGGTATCTTGTCGGACCCGTCACTAGATTCTGTGATATAGGTGTCAAGGTTGAATATGAGATAGCTCAACAGCCTATATATGTTGCTCGGTGTGCTGGAGAGGATCCATTTCCTGGACAGGACGAGGTCCAAGTAATCTGCGCGAAAAGTGTGGGTCAGCTCAGCTTCATCTCAGACATCAGACTGAGGATGCGTTCCATCCCCCGAGCAATATGCCTATCGAGCTTCCTGTTGCTAAATAAAATTTAGGAACGACCACTAAAGCACCACGTCACGCCAACAGGCCTCGTTTTCGCAACTCTATTAGACGAGGCGCCCAGCTTCCATGAGTATTTCCCGGACTTGGAGCCACTACTCCAACGGGTGAACTTTACCAAGCTTCCGTACAGACACAGCATCAAATACGAAGGACGATTTAACTGGAAGACTATGTATTTGATACCTTTGCCTCGTATTCGGGAAGTGTTCATGTCTCCCTAACCTGGCTTCCATGACAGGGTCGACGGCTACCAGGAATGCCTGCATTGCCAATATACGCACCCGTCATTCTCCGTATACTACCCGCCGACCTCGTACGCGGTGCACAATCATCAGAACTTTTCGCAGCATATCGCAGACCCGGAAAAGCCGGATGATGGTCTATTCCTTTATTTCTTCCCAAATTGCACTCTGAATGTTTATGGTGGAGGGATGTCCTCGTTCCGAGTATGCCCGACAGATGACCCGAATGTGACGAGGATGGAGTTTGACTACTATCATATGGAGTCAGGCGAGAAGTTCGACGAGTACTTCAAGTTTGTGCGGCAAGTGGCCATGGAGGACTATGAACTGTGTGAGAAAGCTCAAAGCAACCTCACTAAAGGCATCTATAGCGAAGGCATTCTCAACCCGGAGAAGGAGAGCGGAGTTTCATGTGAGTCACATGAAACCACCTATATGTCCAAATTAAAGTAAATTGATCAGAGAGCAGATTATCAAGATCGGGTCTTCGAGCTCGTGTGTCAGCAGCACGCAGCAGAGAGACAAGAAAGGGAAATGATAGCTGCGAAAGATGATACTCAGAAGAGGGGTCTGCAACGTATCACAACAGCTGCATAAGTCAAAGCTGTGTAAGCCGTGGTTTCGGGACTCGGTAACATGATCAATCTTATCAGTGGCGTTGATTTCAGTGTTCTGCACGGGCTGGCTCCTGTAATAGTCCCTGTAAATGATTCCTATCGAGGTGTGGCATCAGATAAACCCTTGGCCAAGATCGGCCCAGTACATACTTTAAGCGTCATCCATGCGCAAGTTACTGGAAAAAAGCACCATATCTGGAAGGTCAATACTATTCTGGAGTAGATATAGTTACTTAAGTGCATGGTCACCTGAAGACTTTTCCTCTTCTCTCACTGGACGGGGAAGCGGGAGTCATGCAGAACCTGTGGAGGTGACAGGGTCAGTGCTCTGTTCCTGATACTGCTTGATTAAATCCTCGGGATGTCTTTTCGTGCGATAGTAAGCGCATAAAAACAATGGATTCCCTGTAGAAAGGTATGGCGGACAAAACAGTTTCAACATGGCTATAGAGGAACCGTATCCAGCTCTGCCTCCCGCCTTATCGGCCCTGGTCTTGGTTTCGTTTTTAGCGGGACTCGCTTTTCTCCTTCAATCTTTATCAAGGCCCATCTTCCGAGGCTATAAGTCCCTGCGTGTAACTAAGCCGACGGAAACCGAGCTGGATCCTGTTTCTGAAGGTAACGAAAACATTGTCTGCAAGGAATCGGATTTTCCACAAAACTGGTGGACTGGCTCAGAAGTCTTTGAATTGGAAAGACGGGCAATCTTTAGTAAAGTACTATGCGCCATATAGCTTCACTTCTGACAACATGTAATCAAACATGATACTCACATAGAATCAATCAGAGATGGCTCTACCTAGCCCATCGTAATCGGTTCACCAAACCCGGCGATTACCATTCCTTTGACGTGGCAGGTATCCCAATTTTCCTGGTACTGGGGAAAGATGGCATCGTGCGAGCGTTCCATAATGTCTGCCGTCATAGAGCATACACAGTCACGCGGAAGGAGTGCGGCTCCTCTATGATCCTCGGATGTCGATATCATGGCTGGAGCTACAATACCAAGGGACAGCTCATCAAGGCGCCTCATTTTGACAATGTCCCTGGATTCGACAAGAGTCAGAATAGTTTGTTTTCGATTCATACCACAACCACACCGACTGGCTTTATATTCGTGAATTTGGATGCATCTCCGACGATGATGCCATTGCAGACAAGATCTCTCGATTCCTTTGCGGGCCGGCATGGCATCGGACGACAGTCTACGTGGCTGGGAGGGCAGACAGTGGAAGGGCAGTTTAATTGGAAGATTGCTTGTGAGTTTCTTTCCATCTTCTTCCTGAAAGACGATATGTATCTAAATATTGGAACAAGTGAGGTTACAGAGATTCATCGACCACACGGAACTGGAGACCGAGTTCTCACAGCCAAAGTATAAAGCGCTGTTATTGAGCGTGTTCAATTCATCACGAATGCGCTCGGAAGATGTTAGAGTCTTCCCATTTACTACATTCTACACTGTTCGCGAGGGGGTACTGTGGTACTCCCTGAGCTTTATTCCCATATCTGAGAGTAACACCTCGATTCGGATTGACTTATACACCCACAAAGACACGGGCAGCCCTACTCCTTCCACAACAGCAGAAACACTCTTCAGCAGATTATCGAACAGTATCCGAGAATTAGAAACCCAGTTCCAGTCACCTTCTGGGACACCAACGTACGTTCACAAACGCAGAAATTATATGGAGAACTAAGCAATCACATCTCTAGGCTCCCCACCAATATCACATCAGCATCAGACCCAGCTTGCACAGGTGAACTCCAACCCAACCCATTCCATCATTCAAACAATCAGTCTTACCAACAGACTATCAGATACACAGCGTGAGATCCTCGAGGCCATCAAATCCCACGCCAAATTAGAAAAACAACTAGGAACCGAGATCTTTCCCGCTTCGAGGAGACCTAGAACCAATGCACGATTCGAGCAGGCTGAACAAAGTCAGTTGAGTCCCCTTTCCATATCACTTTTATTTTATCATTCTTCCTGTGGTGCTAAATTGGAAAACTACAGTCTGCAAAGACCTAGATTGCCAAGACACGTGGAACAGCAAGAGTCTCGCCTGGTGAGAATACATAGCAACAGGTATGAACAGGATGAGGTAATATTGTTGCTATTGTGGTTCTGGTGACTGTATGACTCAGAGTCGAATCGAGTTATTTAACTAGTTAGTTTATTATTGGTTTCAGTGCTACTCAATGCAAAACAATGTTATGAATTGATCCAAGGGATAACATCTAATTTAGTAGTCTAACACAGCGGTTTCAGACTGGGCGGGGAGGGGGACAACTTCATTTCATCGTTACTGGCAGAAAACGAACACAACAAATACTTCGTAAGTTAGTCGAACAATCTTACGAAATCATGAATGCAAGGGAGAAATTGGACAGTTAGTAGTATAAGTGATGCGAGTAAAACATAAGGCTGGATGGACTGCTTACTATTATTGACAGAAGAGTGAGTTAAGTAGAGAGCTACGCATTGTACGTAGTTACATTCCTGGCTGGCTGGCTGGCTCGGACCAAAAGTCAATGTGGATGGATCCCCACCATCATTGTTAAGGGTCCAGTGGCAGCGGCAGCGTGTAAACCTTCCCTTTTCTCCCTTGAAACCCACCCCACACTTCCCACCTCTCACCGATACTCAGTAGTGTTGATCTACAATCTAACTCTACAGACCCTTATATAAAAAAGATTTAATTCCAGGCCAAAAAAAACCAAGGACACCGCTCTTTCCAAGAATTCTCCATTGGCCTCAACTTCAAAACTCCCCTTAACGCAGAAACAACACATTCAGCCCCCAGCTCTCAATTAATTAAAACCACGCGGTTCTGGGCCGACCGACCGATCGATCTAAGAATCCTGGCACGATTCGGACGAGGTAAGTGCTGAAGATCGCCAACAATAGCATCTCCGATCAGACTTCCCATAATCCCTCTCGGGCCAGTACGGAGAAAGACTTTGTTATTTCCGGCCACGTGGTTGCGAGCTGACGCCGGAGCAGACTATACGAAATTGTGTGCCACACGCGTCGGCTTATCTTACTAGTGTCTAGTATCTGACCATGGCTTTTCCTCCGATAGCGAGGGCGACCTTGCAAGCTGCGCTGATTAATGCGGGCTCCAATGTTCTCGCTCAGGCTATTGGGGCTTATAGGGATGAGGTATGTTGATTTGTTGTTTCCTCGGTAAAAGTGAAATGGCTGGCGATGATGTCGGGCCGGAGATGAGTGATTCGTTCGCGATTCGTTCGCGATTCGTTCGCTTTTGTGTGGAGTATTAGCTACTACTAGTATTCGGTTACAGCTTCACTAACCATGGACGCGATTTGTTGGTAATCCGTGAGGGTGATGGCCCTCACGATTGCCGATATTATGATGCGTATAGAGACCCTTTGAACTAGACACTCAAGTCTTGTTTCAGTTCACTACTTGCGCCTTTGTTATTTCACCCTTGACCTTCTTGTGGCTTGAGGGTCTCGAGGCGAAATTTCCAGGCTATGATGAGAGCTCTGCTCCCAAGCCGAAGACGGAGAAGAAGGAGGCACAGAAGCCCAAGCTGAATGTGACGAATACTGTGGCGAAGATTGTCATCGATCAGATTGTCGGCGGTGCCTGGAACACGGTAGCCTTTATCATGACGATGGGACTTTTGCGCGGTCAGAGCTGGGATGCCATTACGCTGCAGGTCCAAAAGGTTTGTTACTGAATTCATGTTGCTATGATCCGTTGGATGCTGACTATCATTGCCAGGATTTCTGGCCCATCCTGATCGCGGGATTCAAGCTGTGGCCTATTGTCTCTATCTTGAACTTCACAGTGGTACCAACAAACAAACGGCTGCTTGTTGGCAGTCTGTTTGGTGTGATCTGGGCCATTTATTTGAGTCTGATGTCTGGTTGATGTTGTATTAGGTCATCTGAGGAGCTTTCCTGGATTGCCGGGCTAACGGGTCTATGTTGGAAGCTAGGTTGGGCGCTGGGGTCCTGGGACTTGCGGGTGGTGTTCACGTTGGTTTAGCAAATAGTTTGAAACCGAGTCTCAAGATTCGCAACTTGTGCTTCTTAGGGCACTAGTATATAAAAGTTGAGACATCCATTACTTGATCCTACCGCGTTGGGTAAGCTCGCCAGGGGGACGACAGAGAACTGACAAGTGTATGCAAAGGGAAGGAGCCTGATCAAATCAGAGATAAAAAGGGGCCAGAGGTGAAATGGCGGCAATGCGCTAGATAAGTAGTTACTAGACCATGCTCAGCATGATCACCAGACAACGTTCAGATTAATGAATGGTTTGTTGAGCGACCCGTTTGTTCCATTTGGCCCCCATTTTCCGTCCCTCGGGTATCCGAGAGCTGCAATAGGGAAGCCTAGCTGAGCTGCAGGCCCACCTTGATTTAGGGGCTAGAACACATGGCACGACACGGTCTCTGTAGCCCGTCTCCCCAATTTCTGCTGTTAATTGGGCGACGGGCGTTATCGTTTGCAGGTAGTTAGTGGATGGCGAGAACTAGGAAAGTACGGTCCAGTGCGGGTGTACCTGAACCATAACCTGATACGGCATGGTAATGCAACTAGGTCGAACCCACCTTGAGAGTACTAGGATGATCTAGGCAACCAGCGCGTAGGCAACTTTTCTTGTATTAATTTGGGAGTGTCGAGAAATCACACTGGTACAAAGCCTTGAACAGGAGTCAGTCAGATTATAGTCAGGTGACATGTATGGGGCTTCTTATCGGCCGCACGAGACACGCCGAAACTGAAAATAGATCCAATCCGGATGAGATTCAGATTGCTGCACGCTCCGATGGAACCAACTCCAATCTAAACCATGATGTTCTCCAGATCCACGGGTTTATTCGGCGAGCAATTATGTAGTAATGAAAATAGTAATCCATGTGCGGAAGCAGCTGAGGCGTTGGAGTCCGTCTTAGCTAAGTGATGGTGATCGGCTGTCTCAAACACATTTGCATTGATGCCGGGACTCCAGGAATCGAATAACAAGCGACCGTTCGTATGGATGATCAATCCCTCGAGTCTTACTAAGAAAATATACTTCGTTTGGACTCAACGAATCCGTAAGTTTACGGAGTTTAAAGACGGATTTACGTACCCGCAGATCCGTTCCATTGCATGCAGGCATGAGTGTGCTCCGACGTCCGGAGGCCGGCGACGTATTTGAATCCATGATGCTGGGCACCCACCTACCTGGGTTTGCATGAGGCAGACAGGGATGGAGAGAGACGGCGTACGCAGTCTGCTGGGCATCGTCATCCCAGTCCGGGTTTAGTGTGCTCCCTAGTATCTCATTCGTGAGACACTGCCTGGTTCCCAAGCCACAGCGAATGGCGTTACATTCTAGCGTCTGCACTGGATCCAAGTAGGTTAAGGTGGGTTATAAGGGAGAAATTAATAGATCAAGGCTGTGGCTGTAGCAGAATTCGGTAACGGTCATACGAGCTGAAGAGATAATGGGGACTGCGGGAGGATTGGCGATCAGAAGGCTGGTGGATGGCGCAGCCACGATCTGGGTCTTTTGCAGATTCCACAGCTTCAGAATAGAGTAGTCCCTCGAGTGTAAGGCATTTTGCTGGTAACCTATCTGCAATAGGAGTATCCCCGTAAGGCGAAACCAGAGGATGTGATTATTGTCATCAAGATGGAGAAAGAGTGTGACCAGGGGGAGGATGTTTGGCCCCTCGGATCCGGAAAGACGGGCGGAGACTCTGACTGACAAGAAACAACTCGCTTTCCTCCCCGGGAAAACATAGTGGCACGGACAACTACAGTAGTCTCCCTCACTAAAGTGTGTATCTACTCCCTACTCCCTACTAGGAGTAGTTTTGGCCCCCGCGGTTTAGAGTCGATCCATTCTTCGTGCCACCGTCTCCCTAGCCTATCGCTGTTCCCATCCACCTCTGCTTACTCCATTAATTATTAGCTGGCGTCATGTCCCCAACTACCCGGACGCGCATTCCCTTCGATTTAGGAATAAGAAAAGCAACCTCCCCCCGGCACGTGGAGACTGCGACGACCAGGATTTCGAGTCAGATTTCATTCCAGTCATACTTGGGTAGGACTTCAATGGCATTTCTATCTGCTACAACCTCTCATATACTCGTAGCTGTGCATCTCAAGACTCTTTGTCGGTCGCGCGTCATCTGCTCCATCGAAACTCTTTTTCTTTGTTCGCCCGCTCGGCGTTGACTGTCAGTATACTGAACCTAACACTGTGCTTCCCTGGATCCCTTTGAGCTGATCCGTCGCGAACAGTCGGGTGCCACCTTTCGCTATCCTTGTCACCCTTTTCTGAAAGGGTTCACGCAAACCTGGGTTCAACCTTTATTGAATTGTCGGAACGGCTTGCTCGCATTCATCTCCGGCCCTCCACTTCGGACTCCGCTCGTTCGGATTTTGGGAGTCTCTACTTACTTCGGCCAGTCGTACTTCTAAATATACGGAACAAACCCCGAAATAACATTGTCGAACCCAACAAAGGATAACAACAAGGGCGTCTTTTAAGACCATGTTGTACATGTCCCTAAACGGACGGGTGCACTGTGCCATATGACAACGGACTTTGTGTATAGGTAGCAGCCAATTGTTACCATCGAACCATCCAGGTGCCCCAGGGGAAAGACTGTTGGCTCGGTGCGGAAGCCAGTCCTACGTTAAACAGGCTTTGAAGAGTTGGTATAGGGCTAGTTAAAGGCCCCCTCAATCCCAAAGATGGAGGTGCTGGACTTGCCTAAGCGCAATTCACCCGTTTCACAACCCACCGCTGTCGCAATGGGACCAACATCTTCCCATCCTGAAGAGAAGGCGTCGGATGCCCCATACATGGTGGACGATGACTTTGCTGGAGATGATGAAGATGCCGATGATGATTCTATTTCGCCTATTTCTGAGAGAGCACCTCCATGGTCTGGAACTCGCTGGGCTCGTTTTTTCCCCGAACTGTCATCTCACTTCTCCTTGGCGTCCCCTACTCACAGTACCAATCCGCCCTTTCCGCAATTTCACACGAAGGGCCCGCCCCATATCGACGGTCCCTCACAGCAACCGGAAAGAAGGAGTAAAGGGCCTTCTTCTCTGTCGTCTGAAGATGTGGCGGATAACAGGTCATCAAGTTACACTAGCAGGTCTTCCTTGACGAGTCAGGGATCTGAAGCTACATCGCCAGTTCATAAATTGGTGGATAGTCTTCACATAACGTCACCCACAAGGGCTGGCGTCTTTGACGAGTCAAAATATGCGCATCAAATTCCTCCTCCCTTCCCGAGCCGCTCTTCAATTGCTCAGTCCAAAGACAAGCCTCTGCCTCAGGAGCCTCCCATTGAGTTGACACCACTCTCAATCCGTCATAAAAACCCTCCAACCGGATATGTTGGTCGCTTGGAATCTCTGCCACGTTCAAAGAAGCATGCGAGTCATCATCATCCGACGTTGTCGCAGGCGTGCAACGACCTGGAGAGGACTCTAGCCGGACTTGGTGAGCAGCCGCAGACGCCCGGGCAACTCTCCCCTCGCAGTCCTCTCCAGATTCTAGACGGGCCTCTGCAGATTAGTAGAGGCAATATGGACATGGTTGCGACCCGACCAGCCCCTCGACCTCCTGCTAGCGTGCATAACAATCGTCAGATCCACAAAGTCAAATCCCGCGAAGATGTGAAACAAACAAAGAAATCACTGAAGAACAAACCGTCCTTTTCCTTCTCAGTACCAGCCTTCGGTCGGAAACTGAGTCGTGTCCATCAGCGATCCACCAGTAACACCAGCTCCAAGTCAGAACCTGAATCCTACCGGGCCAGCATCCTACATCAGCCAGCTGTCGCAGAACTTGGAGACGGCGAGATCGCTGAGCTACAGGGATCTTCAGTCATTGGTATCCGTGAGAGACCTCTTTCCGCTGGCGGGGAGAAGGAACTTCGGATGAGGCTTCCCCGCCTTCAGACAAAGGAAATGGGGGAGTCCGGTCGGAGAAGGCCGCATGAGAGAGCGAGGGGCGCTTCTGTCGGAGATAAGTACTTCGTATCGTACAGTAAGCTCGATGGTATCCCAGCCACTCGTCAACATCAACAAACTTCGCAAACTTCAGCGATGGTCTATGAGCTGGAGGGCGGTTCCCCACAACCGCCAGCCGAGCTGCAAGGCGATACCACCACCGCGATCGATGTACCTGTCAGGGTATCTGTCAGTAAATCTGTTGGAGCAATGCCTGGTACTCTGCCTGACCGCGTTATATTAACGGTCTTGGAGCATATCACCTCCCTTGATGACCTTTTCAATGTTGCGGTAGCCCGCAGAGACTTCTATCGAGTGTTTAAGAAGCACGAGTTGAAGCTTATGCGGATAGCTGTATTCGCCATGTCTGCGCCAGCTTGGGAGTTGCGCGAAATGAGCCCGCCATGGGATACCGAATGGCAATTTGTGCTGGATCCTGACGCCCCTGTGCCTGAATACACGCCCAGCCGCTATCTCAAGCGCTATGCTGAGGATATATACACACTGGCTCATCTCAAATCGCTTATACTAGCTCGTTGTGGGACTTTTCTGCGCCCCGAAACGATCCGTGGGCTATCCGGCACTGACGATGTTCGTGCCGCCGAGGTTGATGATGCCTTTTGGCGGGTCTGGACTTTCTGTCGCCTTTTCGGTTCCGGGAAAGGTAGAGAGGGAGACATCGCGGGGCAGTTGGATTGGTTGAGGGGTGGCAAGGTAGCCAGGAACCGACGTGTCTCGGAATTCACGTCTATAGCTGATTCATATGACGCGAATAGCGTTTTGTTCGAACCTCCTGCGGGATTTGGGAACGGCAATACAGGAGGCTTATCAAAGGAGCAGCTTCTTGATATGACGGAGATATGGACCTGCTTAGGTGTGCTTCTTCAGCCAATGCACGGTAAGTGTATTGAAGCACGAGCAACTGGAGTATTCGACGGGCATAATGTAGAGGCAGACGATTCTGCCAAGGAAGAAGCAGTTTTAGGTAAGCGCATCTCACCTGGATGAGGTTGTCGTTGGCCTCACTGTTACCAAATCGCTAACCTGTCTGAGCAGAGGAGTGGACCTACTACATTCTCACATGTGGACTTTCAGCCGTCTTGGTGCTCGGCTCGATTCATCCCTATGACAACACTACTGCTGTTTTCCAGAGAGCCCATTCGATGGGCTTGACCAACTGGGAAGCCTCTGACACTGGTGCGAGCCGTTCGTCATTCCTGAGAGAGGCTGTGTCGAAAGCTTGCCAGCCACGGGGAAGTAGTACTTCTCAGGTTTCAATGCGCTCTCCTGGCTTTGGCTCTCAACCTTCGGGGTCGCATGATGTATCACAAACATCTAACATTCCCGGCGAGAGAGAGTCTTCGCCTGACTTTCATCGCCGACGGCAAGCTGCCTACTCTGCCCAGTTAAGGAATCAGAGGCAGCAGCAGCCCAGTCCACCCAATCCTATGCTTGCTGAAGAACGGCCCATATCGCATTATGCGACCATCATGAGCCGCCTAGAAGGCCTTCCGCCCGCGCCTCAGCCGCCCATGTCTGTGTCAAGGATAGAAATACCGCCTACTACCCACTCTTACGTGACAAACGTGTCCTATATGCAACCCCTCCAACCAATCACACCAGTGTACTACCCACCACAGGTTCGCGACCCTGTTGACCACGCCATTGACATCATGGTTCGTGAACTTGGCTTTGCGGAAGAGGATGCCAAGTGGGCCCTCAAGATAACAGACAGTGGCGAAGGTATAAATATGAATGCGGCGATATCTTTACTCACCAGGGAACGCAGGACCCATGAGCAGAGTAGCAGGGGATTTTCCCTGAGGAAACGCAAAAGCTTTCTCTCCTCGGTCATCAACAGTCCGGAGTCGAGACATTCAGGCTGGAAATGGGCTTGAGCAGCAACACATCCTCAATTATTGTTGTCGCTTTATCTTCACATCAATGGCAGCTAGTCCTGCACTTGTTGTATGTTCTGATTCATAACTGCATTGCATTACGGCCTGCCTTCTTCCAAGGGTTTCCTTTGACTCTAAGGCGTTGTTGTTCGGGTTGATACCACTGTGTACCACAATTTTCTCTTGCTTTTATCTCTATTACAAGCGTGTATAGCCATATTTTACCATTTTTTTATTGACCATCCAGGTTTCAGAAAAACCTTGAGAAGATATCATTCTAGACTTCTCTTTGGGCGGAACTGGAGCTTACAAGGACGCCCGTTGATCTACTGGATAACCCCCTCCCCTTCTTAGGGATGTGATTTTATTTGTAGCAATTCCGCAGCCCCTTCATGAGGCTGTTCACCCGGGCTTATAGTGCTGAAACGGCGCAGCTCTAGAAATCAAGGCGGCCTTCGTCAGCCGATTTGCAAGGAGCCCAGCGATGGACGGAAAGCTAGCAGGAGCCCTGGATGATGGCAAAACAATCATCTATTCTGTGTCGAGAGCATCTGAGATTGTTTAGCAGCCGGTACGTCACGCCAGTCCACGCACTGTAAGAGGGCCGACGGACCGTGTTGAGGGTAAGGCTATCCTTACAGGCCAGCGGAAATCCCAAACCTTCCCGTCTCAACCCATAGCCAGCTCAACTTTCGAAAGCCATCTGCTTCGGCGGACGTTCTTTCCCTGGCGCCCTGGAGAGAGTGGCCAGAGCATCGAACAAAAGGGTGAAAGTTTAATGGTTAATTATAACTATTTCCGATGTGACAAATCGGGCCTGAAACAAACTTCCAGACTATTGTCTCGGGAAACTGCTTCGACGCTCATCCCACCCGGTTCCTTGGTGCTTCTTCGGGTGTTCTATTCTAGTTTCCTAACTTGCAGGAAGCTTCATTACCTTATGCAAGCTGTCATGGACACGGTGAGGTTGAATGGATCCCGCTTGCACGCACGTCCGGACATGCTTCAGCTGACAGCCAAAGACCCAGCATGTTCTTTTATTCGTTGGGGTCCCCAACCTTGACATGTCCTTCGAAGCAGTTCGACTGGCATGAATATTGCTGGAACTATCTCGTGGTCTAGCCAATTATTGGAAACGTCCCTGACGCGGTTGTGATGTATCAACTCGGGAGGAGAGGAGGTGCCCCCGACGATCGCAAACGAGGCTTCCCTTTGCTTTTTTTCGAGTCTTCGCCGAGAAGCACGACTCAGCCCGGGAAATCTGACAAATGATGTGCCAATTGCATTGCTTAGAAGGTGCAAAATTATGAACAACGCAAATAAGAGAAAAAAAGGACGATATGATATGATATATCTATGGCTCGACTTTGAGACAGAAATAATGCGGTGAGAGCGGAGAGGCCCGGACAGGTTTGACCCTCGAACTTGTTCGACGCAAGGGGGGTCGGTTTGTTTATTGCAGGGAGGAAAACGAGGGGAACACAGGCATTGCACTCACTGGCTGCATCAAGGCGGTCCGTCAGTTTGTGGAATCAAGATAATGTTATCGATGCTGGTGATGCAAGAAAATGAGCGGCAAAGCCTACCAAACCAACCCTGTCGTCCATCCCTCCCTCGGCATTCCAATCGATCAATCGTCCAATATATCACTTTTCACTGAACTCAAGCGCCTCTCCTTCGCAAGCTTTGTTCCAGACTAACATGCGAGGGATGACAAGCGTTAGCGCTAGACGAGAAACTTCCCCAGTCCCTCCTAGAAACCATCAAGAATGGGGCACCGCCGTTTACTTCTAGACAAGACCACCGGCTGACCTGCATATGTATCTGCGCCAGCATGTCCAACAGCTCATTAAAAGTGACGCCTCATCCTGACTTTTGAGGGTCTGATCTCTTCCCGACATTTTGTTTGAAACGGACAGCCGCACATCTTCAACGTCGTTTTTTCCTCTCATTCTCCTGTCCTTGTGCATCTTCTTCACCTCCCCCCAAGATGGCTACGGAATCCGTTCCCGACGGTAACCTGTCGGTTCAGAGGTAAGCTCACGCATTCCTGCTGTCATGGCTGCAGCCTGTATGGGTGATCAATCAACAACTAACCCACGATATCGATTGGTCAGAGATTTCGGCGACATTCGAGGGCTGCAGACGGAGGCAAAGCGACAATTCGATACAGATATTATCCTGAGGAATTCGTTACAGGGTGCTCCAAATAGGTTCGAGGCCAAAGGCCGTGTTCTAAGAGCCTCAGACGTGCTGCTGTCTTTAGTCGGCAGATCTACGAGCGGTATGCTGCCCTCCGGCTACCTACATATGGGTGCAGCCTGTGGTTGTATTTGCATCGGCTAAAATTGGGATTAATCTGGTTGGCAGAGACGGATGATGCTTATCCCGGTGTTGCAAGTACGCAGGAGGCTTTGCGTTGTTTTCCTCCGTTCCGAGACCATGATGGGACTATATTCGGTGCAGTGGATATCAATTGTCCCGACTGCAATGCGGTTTTTTCTTCGCTGTACGGCCGAACCTGATATTCCCCTTGATCGGTACAGACTTTGACATGTCATGCAGAAGCGAGTTGAAACATCACTATCTAACGAAATACTGTCCTGGCACTGCAATTGCCGTATATGTGATGACGCGGGACCGGTATCTGATCCTTGTCCAGTTTGTTTAGACAGAATTGCTGACTGGAGCTACCGTTATAGTCTAATCACGAAAGGTTACCGTGTTGAGAAACGTTTCATCCCGCTCAACTCCCGGCCGATTTGCTTTTTCTGTGGCAACTGTGAAAGGCCATTCACATTTGGCGATGGTGAGGAGGAAGGGCTTGATCGGCAACGAAGTATGATCCGCCACTGTCTTTATCACTAGCGGGGTCTAACCGAGTCTCAGATACGCCATTCTTTGTTGACTGCAAGCATTGTGGTGAACCATGCAATGTCTCGTCAGTATCTTCTTGTCCTTGAGCTTCTAGGTGTGCAGTGGACACTATTTCTGACGTGAGGACTGCAGATACCAGCCGATCTTGAACGATCCGCGGGACGACATCGTTGTTAGGGGCACAGCGAGAGACATGGCCAGTGCTAATCACAGTCGAAGTTCTAGCTTTACGCAAAAAGGCTCCATGGGTTCCAAAGTCCCATCAACGAACGGCACTGGGGACCAGTCCTTTTCCAAAAAAGCCCGAAAGATACGTGATTCATGGTCGCTCAGAAGTACGTTATCTCCCAATCACTCATTGGATACTTTCCGTACTAATACAGCTAAGAGTTCTCACAAGGAGAGGAGGATGAGCTGGTCGCTATTGGATTTGCGGGGCTATATGACCTGGAACGAGGTATGCCGCCAGATTCTCTGATTATCTCTAGTCGCTAATCGGATTGGCAGTACATGCCCCCCACGGCATCTATCAGCAAATTGAAGGCAACAATGAGCCGGGAACAGCTCTGTCAACAATGAGCTACGCTACGAATGGTATACATGAAGCCGACTAGACAGCCAGAAGCTCAGCTAACATTCTGTCTATAGGAGTTAATTACAATGGATCCATTGTGGAGTCTAAACGGACGCTCTGTGACGAGGAAAGCGGTCATCCGGGCCCTAAGAACGAGCTGCGGAGTGGCCAGGCTGAGAAAGAACGCCCGCAAGCGCAACAAAGAGCTTCATGGAGGCAATCATTCTTGCAGAGACTCTTCGGTCGCAAGGTCCCCAAAGGTCAGTATGCTGAAGCCAGTCTACCGAATTAGCACTCATTACTGTAGGTGTCTCACGTGCACGATCTACCTCAGATCGCGGTAAGAAGTTGATTAAGAGAGCGAACACTATACGGTTCTCGTTCGTCACCAAGTACACGCGAAGCGAAAGGAGAGCAGCAACGACCCGGAGAAGTGACGTGGTTTCGACGGATGGCCGGACGCAGGTCACTGAGCCTACGCAGGAATCTGTCGCGGAAACCGAATACATGGCCTTGCTACGGGAAACGCAGAATATCTTCATCCACACCCAGCATATCTCGGGCGGCGCAATTGTTCACGATGCATCTGGGCGTCAAAGAATTTTGAAGATTGATGAGATTGCCCAGCTTTTCCTACAGATTAAAGACGAGCTCGCGGCTGCAAGCGCTTGGTCTCGTATCCTCCACGAACAGATGCGAGCCCAGAATGCTCTGAATCAGGGGAATCTGGAAACTGCGATTAGCAAATTTCACAACGCGCTGAGATTGCTCGATGAGTGTCCCGCATTAGATATTGACAAGCATTGCCGAGCGGTACTTCTCCATTCCTTGGGACGAGTATATCGCCATTTGGAAAGGACACAAGAGGCGACTGTCTGTTATTTGACGGCTCTTGGATTATTCAAGCGGACGTTTGGGCGCGACCATCCCGATAACTTCGCCATTCTGCATGACCTAGGAGCGCTCGATTCAAAGGATGGATATGCTACACAAGCATCGGCTTTATACGAGCGCTCGTTTGCAGGTCGCTTGAAGACATTGGGGCACAACGACCCAGAGACTCTGAAGAGCATGCAGGACCTTGCCACGCTGAAGGTCGCTTTAGGCGATTTGGAATCGGCCCTCCTCCTTCTGGAGAAAGCAGCCCCGGCACTCGATACGGTTTTTGGGCTACATAATGAAAGAACATTGACCGCAAAGAACCAACTATCTCTCCTGTACCACAAACTTGACCTGAATAAGGAGGCGCAAATGATCTGCGGCCGAACCATCCCACATTACAAGGCAGTCTTCGGTATTACCAGTCCTATCACAAGAGAAGCGGTCATTCGGTATCTTGAATGCTCTGAGAATTTTGACTTTCCAAGTGAAATAAATGACATTCTTGATCAATATCAACATTCTCGGGAACCAGACGCCCTGCGGGTCATCCAACATTTAGGACGATCGTATATCAATGCTGGCCTCTATCGGGATGCCGCGAATATTTTCGAATCTTTGGTCGAAGACTTCTTGGCCATCAAGGGACCAGAAGCAATCGAAACGTATGATGCTCTCAGCGCCCTCTGTGTCTCCCACGAACAACTCGACTCTATCGACAAGGCCATACTTGCCTACAAACAGCTAGTCCATATGGCGCGACGAACCCCGGAAGACCGCTACCTGCAGACGAGGATAGGGTTCGCCGAGGAGAGGATATTGGCTCTCAACGGACGAAGAAATATGCTCGCAGCTGAGAATCAAGATTGGGCATTGCATGAGCCCGGGCCGTGTGAGAAGTGCGGCACCCCTACCACCACCTTGTGCAACAGTAGGTTTTCCTTCCCTTGCCTTTCCCACGCGCATTGCTAACCTAATATGCAACGACCAGCCTGCAATATCTTCCGGTTCTGCAATGATACATGTCACAAGGCTGCCTCCGTCTCCCATGCTTCCCAATGCATCCCATCCGTCACCCGTCTCGAATCCAAGTCAATCCGAATGAAGCACAAATGCCCCGTCCCAGCACGCGACCTTGCGATCACCAGAATCCGCCAACTCGACACCACCCGACCTATCAATATAACAGCCAGTACCGCTTACCATCTCGACCATCGCAAATTCACTACCTTCCGGATGAAACTCAACCCAAACGTTAACACAGTCATCGTCTTCGCCCGCGAATCCGACATCCGCTACACCATGATCAACAACCCTCCACATCTCTTCCCGCCCAGCAAAGTCCAATGGACCACCCCAGAGCGTCAAGAATCTATCTTCTACGCCCCCGCATCCCCCGGCTCTGACCCAACAGAAGAAGCAAGATACCTTCTCGTCGCCCCGGGGAAGAAAATGCTCCGCGCCTTGGTCGATAAGCGCGTACGAGTCCGTGGCGGCGGCGGCGAAAAGGAACGCTTCCGAGCCCTTGATATCCCCAACAAAGACCTGGTCGAATACGCCCAGGGACTTGTCCTAAATGATTATCCGTATGAGCCGTTCATGTACGTTTTTGAATGGGTGTGGAAAGATTAAGTCGAGACGCCGTCGCATTGAGATATATGATATCGGTAATTGAATTAACCTCTCGGGATTCCCTTCGTTCTGTTTCTTGTGTGTGTTTCATTTCCGTGTTTGCTACTGCTACCACATATGAAGTTTCTTACTGTGTTTTTCATGTGTTGTTAGTTACTATGTGTGATTCTCCATGAGTGCAGTGTCTGTGATTTATCATGTCCGAGATTTTATATATAATTCTGAGATCATACTGCGTTGAATTGTTTCATTTCTTTGCTATTTTTCTTCTTCTCATATAAGTCGATACCACCACTTCTCTCGGCTCTTTGGATCGTCCTCGTTCGGCTTCAGTCGAAGCTTCATTTTGGAAATCAGTCAATTTCCCTGATATCAGATATCTGTACACTCTGTACGTGTATCTCTTATGTGGTTTTTACTAGCTTTCAATGTTGTTGTATGTTATGTACAGTGAGCAATTTGGAAAAAAAGTGTGAGCACTGAGTATGTTCAAATGAGGTAAATTGCAATGCAAGATTAAGCAGTGATCGAGTTTCAAATTCTAACAAAGGGTACATCATAAGCTAAGTCGCAAAATCAAAATCCTATTGATACAGTTGCCAATCAGAGGCGAAAGAAAGAGAGGAAGAAAGCGTGACTGGAACACGACACGACCGGTCTATCTAGTAATAGTAGAGGTCAACGAAAAAGAAACACCCAAGGCTATCAATATCTATCCGTAGTCCATATCAGAAGAAGCCTCGTCTTCCAGACCAGCATATACAATGCGCGCATATAACGACGCCAAACACCATGCATTTCTGTATGCATTGGGGAAAGCAAGAATGGATGAATGAAAATGCACCATGGAAGATGTGCTCAAATAGGAATGTCCTCAGGTCCAAGCAGGTAACCAGCGAAAGGCGTGCTCTTGTCTATGGAACGGAAATGTAAGTGATAAATCGTGAGGTCGTAATGATTATTCTTGTTTTAGCTCGGTTTCAAGGATCAATTATTGATTGATTGGTAGGAGTAATAAGGGTGCACACTGTGCCCCTCTCACGCATCGGCTTCGTCATCGTCTGACTTGTACGTGTCGTCGCTGTCGCTTTCCCAGTCCTCGGCTTCGAGGGAACGGCCTCGGATGCCGAAACTCAGGATAAACCCGACAAAGGAGACGGCGGCGAAAACGCCGAATGGCATGGCTTCTCCTTTGTGCTTGAGTCTAGATGCAAGAGAGAAAAGGCTGCCGGATAGAAATGGGCCCACTGCACGGCCTGCGGCTGAAAGGGTCTGAGCGAGTCCATTGAGGGATCCTAAGACGGCATGATCCGGGGCGGAGTTGGTAATCTAGGTTGGCCAGAGTTAGCATGACATTCTTCTTTTTGTGTCGTGACGCAAATAGCCAACTACTTACCAGTAGAAGTGCACTTGTCAGTCCGCCAACTGAGGCGACTGTTTTGACGAGCAACGCAAAGCACAACTCGATCGCCAGAAGCGCGGTCTTCCCGCTTATTCCATTGCCCCCATTGCTCTTATAACCGACAAAAGGCATGAGCAGGAACGAAATGACGAAGCCAAATAAGCCCGCTCGGTAAGACCAGCGATTTCCCATCTTATCTCTCAATTTGCCGAAAATGCAAATTTGAAAAATGATCGTAACAAAGCCAGAGAACCCTTGAGCAAGACCGATCTCCGAAGGGGTCAGACCACGCCCAAGTGGGGGACGGGCTTGCGAGAAGATAGGAAACAGCGAGTTGAAAGCAACGTTGCAGAGAGCGAAAATGAGATAGGTCAAAAGGAGCAGCACAGTATCCCGATTGAAAATCTCACTTCGTGTCAATGACTCATGGTGGGTCTGGTGAGTTTCCGATACCTCAGACGCCGAGTCTAGTTCGCTATCATGATCCTGACTTTCGTACGAGCTCGTACGAAGGTGGCGATAATTGCCAGCATGTGGTGGTTTTACCCGACTCGCGCTCTTTGCGGAGCTAGTCCACTCCCACAACCACGCGAATAGAGCACGGACTCTCCGCTTGAAATCGGGTAAGGTCTCTGCGTCCTCCAAGCTCTCTTCGAGGAAGAATATCGACAGGACGAAGTCCACAACTAAGACTCCACCGGCGAGCAGATTTGGCATGAGGTACGGGAAGGGGTTGGGTTGGCTTTTGTCAAAGGGATTCCGCTCGAAGACCAATAGGCCTCCTAACAGAGGTCCAGTTATGCCACCAATACCATAAAGAACAGGCAGGTAGGTGAAGGCCTTCGACTGATTGCTCCGATCAGTGATCTCACCCAGGCATGTGGACACCAGACCTTGGTTGCCATTGACGGCGCCCATCATCGCCTGAACAACGATCGCCTGGTAAAGCGTTCTGCAAAATCCAAAAGCACAGAAGCAAGCTGCCGTGAGGATTGTGCCCAGCAGGATAACCGGTTTCCTTCCTATCCGATCAGATAGCCAGCCCCAGAAGTAATTTGTGATCAGCTGTGCTACTGCGAACGCAGTAGCAATCGCTCCAACGTATACCCCGACCATATCCGGTTCGACTTCGGGAAAGGAGGACGCCATATCAGGTAGGTAAGGACTGACGGAGTTGAAGGCCGTCTGTTCGCAGAGGGATATCATCGCCAGAACCGCCATCTGTTTCTTCGGCAGGGGAGATCCGTGTCCCGATCCATTCTGAGAATCGCTTGGTTGGTGATGCGAGTCGTCGCCTGATGATGCAGATTGGCCGGAGTTCGGTCTTCCGCGAGATTTCGGCGGCGGGGTGTCGAAGGTCTGATAGTGCAGCGTAGAGGAATGTCGCCGATTCAGCGGATTGTGCTCTTCTGTCCTCATCTCGGCAGAACAGTGGTAGTATGCGAGTTCGTATAGCGACTTTCAGGTATTCCCCAGAGAACAGCGCGATAGAGGCGGTGGCTGAGCCTCACCAACAATCGGAGCAATGACGAATGGCTTCAATTGCCACTACCTCGTTCGCGATGCGGGGGGCGTTGGAGCCCCCAGAAAAGACTCGGGGGTGGATCCGGGGCAACAGCAGCGAACTATAGTCGCAAGTGATGTCAATGACGCGCACGTATTGTTCGAGACTGGAGATGAAGATCCAAAGCAAAGCAGAAGCTGTCTAAAATCGAGAGAATATCAAAACAAGGAAGAGGTGCCTGGATAGTCAAGTGCGGAGGAACCCCGGCAAACCCATGCAGATGATGTAAGCGTTCTGGCTGGACTGGAAGAATCACAGCTGAGTCATCCGGTGGCTGTCGACTGAGCTGGTATGACAGGTCTGATAGTGAACTGTTCTCATCGAGTCAACAGCAGTTGTATGATGTATATGACAGTTTGACACGGGATAATTACTCCCAATTTCACCAGGGCTTTACGTGTCCTCGGCAAGGACTGATCATTTGCAAGAGGCGAACTGCTGCGCCCTCTGTGCCGGTGGCATTCCCCGGTAGGTAACCAGCCACGGATTGCAACATCCGCCTGTCTTAAAGTCTTTCTAGGAGAATTACCAAGAGGTGTGCGGTAAGTGTCGCCACAGAATCAAGGGTTTCTCTGCGATGCTTCAGTGAACTGGAATCTGTAAAATGCAGTTGGGCTATGAACCTGTCAATTATGGCATTTTATTTACCAACAAAATATATCAGCTGGCCTGCTGGCCCAATGGTAAGGCGCTTGACTACGGATCAAGAGATTGCAGGTTCGAATCCTGCGTAGGTCATTCTTTTTGGGAATTTATTTTTCAGTCTTTGGCATCTTTGTCTTCGTTTCTATGTTGTTTTTCTTTTTTATTTTTCTTTTAGTTTTACATCTATAACATTTACTTCGTCTTCGTTAATCATTCCGTTGCAGATAATATGCACGATCAGCTCGTGTAGCCTCCTGCCGGGGCCATTACCATGGCTTATGATAAAGCGCGGTCTTGGTAGCGACGCTGCACTGTTTCCCGATTAAGATGCATGAACAGAGTGAACTAGCCTACGTAGGATTTTCATGGTTCTTCATCATAGTCCTATTCATTACTCGCCGGTAAATGCATAAAGGTAACCTGCGCGCCAATCACTTCATCAACAGATTGACAGCCCAAGGAACACTGAGTCCTCTCAGGTCGCCGTAATGCTGACCAACTCCCAAGAAGACGATGGGAATACCCGTAGCATGCACCATGCTGACCAGGGTGCCCACCATGTCACCAACTGTATCACATTTGCTGATGATGAAGCCGTCAAGGTTTCGCCCAGTACCGAAGGCCTGGTTGAAATTGCGAGCCTGCATCACACTGTCCGTGCCAACCAGGGCTTCACCAACCATGAAGATCTTGTCTGGGTTGGCGAATTTAGCAAACTTCTCTAGCGAGGACATGAGGCGCTGGTCGTTGTGCCGGCGGCCGGCAGTATCGATAAGCACGACGTCAAAGTGGTTGGCAGCTCCGTATTCGACAGCATCCTTCGCCACGTTCGCCGCATCCTTTCCGTAGCCCTTCTCGTACAGCTCAACCTCGCCAGCGTTCTCGCGGGCACTGAGTTCCTTGAGGTTCCGTGCATGAACACGTAGCTGTTCCACAGCTCCAGATCGGAAGGTATCGCATGCGGCGATGAGAACACGGTATTTGTTCTGCAGCAGAAAATAGCAAATCTTTCCCAAATTCGTTGACTTTCCAACGCCGTTGACACCAACGATCGAGATAACATAAGGACGAGGAGCCTGCTGCTTGCTAGTGGGAGACGTAACTGCATCGATTTCACGAAGCAGGTCAAGAGAGGAGGTAGGCGTCAGTATTTTCCGAAGAGACGACTCCATGGCCGAGCGCAAAGCAGCATCCACACTTTGGAAATTGCCTGTTTTCTTCCCCACGAGCTCCCGCTTGACACCCTCGCACAGCCGGACCGCAGCCTCGCGTGCGACGTTCTTCTTCAACAAATGATCTTCCATGGTCTTCAAGGGCTTCTCCAAATCCGCTTCGGTAAGGGTCTTTCCGCCCACGATGTTACGCAGAAGACCTCCGATTGCATTGAATCCTGAACCGACGAAGCCAGCAGAGGACGCATCCTTCGCTTTATCGCTGCCTGCATTTTCCAAAATAGAGTGAACTTCATCTCCCAGATCTTTCAGTACGAACTGGCCCTTGCCAGTTCTGTGTCCCCAAGAATCTTGCGACACGCCTTCCACAGCCGGAGCAGCCGCTTCTTCACCGTCAGCATGGGCTGAGTAGTCGAGGACCTGACCATCATCCTCATCGGCAAATCCATCGGCATCCCACTTGCGCATCTTTTTGCCGCTCTTGGGTGTTTTTCCTTTGCGGGTTTCGTCGCCTGAGGAAGCATTGGCGCTGGCATTAGCGGCCTTGCGTGCACGACGCGAAACTCGGCCAGCTGGTCCTCCCTTGGCAGTTATGATGTGGTTCGCAACAGGGGTGGATGACCGCGATGTATCCGGGGTGTGTGGTGGCGTACTCTCATCAGAGGTCGCCCCGGCTAGCGCAGCTTGATGCTGCGCTTTAGGAATGTTAGCATCATTACAATCTATGAAGCCCGTTCGGAGACATACCTTTGAGAAGACCAGGCACTGGTGGCGGAGGGGGGCCGCCATTGTCAGACGAAACCAGCGGGTCTTTCTTATCAACCGCATGAGCCACGAATACCTCCGAAGAGATAGGCCCCGACTTATCCTCAAGCTCCCGAACTTGCTGGTCAAAGTATTTGTCAAAGGGGTATTGTGCTATTCTTGCTCGGGTACTTCGTAGTTGGTCCTTGTACAAATCGATATACAGGGTGGAGATATTGTCCAGGAGTTTATCGATCCAACCAAGCTGTAAGAGAGACTGATAGACGGCCTAGAAATCGAGTTGCGGTCAGAGACAGAAGACCTGAGACGAGGTCGGAGACAGCAACATACCACGAAGATCAAGTCAAATTCCTTCACCCTTTTCCACTTTAAAGTGTACTTCTCTTTCTTAAAAGACGGGGCGGCATTGCTCGTTGCCTGAAGCTGGACCTTTTCCTCAATGAAGACATCACTGATAAGGCTGTTAACAATATGCGCCCCGACGGGCGCGTACGACTTCGACCACAGGACTACCCCTGAGGCAGTCAAGATCTCGAATGCTTCCAACATGCTGCTGATAAGTGGATATGCTGTATTGGTGAAACTGGGGTACGGAGGCGAGTGAACAATGATGTTGGAGTGGACGGCGAGATCCGCGCAGTGGGGAATTTGCGGGCGGCAAGCTGATCTGTCGGTGATCCGAAGGGAAGGACTTCAGCCACGTAGAAACACACCTCAACCTTCTTCCCATTCTGCGCTCCAGTCACCCCCGATTTGCCGTCTCGGCAACCCCTCGAGCTTTGCAAGACAATCTTTGACTATTGAACTCCTCTCCACTAAGATTATTACAACCCAAGAACCATGTACCGCCAGTCGTTCGCTCCACCCCCGGCGCAGTCCCCTCCCCTTCACCATCCTGTGCCTCAGCATGTCTCGACCGTCCCCATGATGCGCTCGCCGCCGCCTCCGGCATCACAGCAGCCTCAGACCTCCGGCTATGGCAACCCATATCAGCCCGCCCCTGCGCAGGGTGGCAGCGGAACGTATGCTCCTGGCTTTGGGGGGTTTATCAATGATCCCACTGCGCAGATGGGATTCCAGGTCGGAAAGACCGCCATGGCAGCTGGACAGGAATACATGGAGCAGAACGTAAGCAGCAGCTTCAATGGTGCCTATAGATGAAGAATTGCTAACCAGGCGCCAAGTTCAATCGCTATGTCTCTATACCAGCTTTAAAGCACTACTTTAACGTCTCCAACTCTTATGTCCTGAACAAATTGTCCCTCGTTCTCTTCCCTTGGCGGCACAAGCCTTGGTCCCGTCAACAGGCACGCCTTACAACAGCTTCAACGGGCCCCAATGGCCAGATATCCCAGCAACAATACTCATCCATGTTCCTGCCTCCGCGTGACGATCTCAACTCTCCAGACATGTACATCCCCGTCATGGCACTGGTCACATACATCCTTCTCTCAGCGATGCTGGCCGGATTCCGCGGTAACTTCCATCCGGAACTGCTTGGTTCGATCACGACCACAGCTATCGCCGTCATTCTGTTCGAGATAATGTGCTTGAAGCTGGCTATGTACATCCTCAGCATCAACAACGAGTCACAGCTGCTGGATTTGGTGGCATATTCGGGATACAAGTTTGTCGGCATCATTGTCACTCTGTTGACATCTGAGATCCTCACTCCAGGCCGAGGAACCGGTGGCTGGGTTGGCTGGGTCGTCTTCATTTACACCTTCCTTGCTAATGCCTTCTTCCTGGTACGTTCATGACCGTATGCTTTGTTGACCACTTTACTAATGACGCCTCATAGCTCCGCTCCCTGAAATACGTTCTTCTCCCGGACTCTACGAGTGATGCGTCTATGCGCACTGGTTCTATGCATACGGTTGCTCGCTCGCAGCGTAACCGTCGCACTCAGTTCCTGTTCATCTACTCCTATGTCATCCAGTTCGTTTTCATGTGGGTGCTGAGTCGGGAGGGGCCGATGTCGATTGCATCTCGTGGTGGAGCAACTGGTTCAGCATAGGGTCATGTCGGTACCAGGTTGCATATAATGATATAGACGGACCTCATGAAAAGGGATAGGGATATTAGTTCATATTCATGTACTTTTTGTGGACAGCAGTAAAATGGAAATTAAATTACAATCTGCCTAGAAGTGGAAGTATACAGGTACATTGTTTGCCTGCATTTTGGTCTTGCAGAGCATGAAGTCATACTGGAGGGCGGATCATACACGGGGGTCATTGGTTGGACACGGTCAATAGTGATCGAATGGGTGCGGGGCTGAGCGGTGTCTCGACGGTTCTACAAGATAAATTTTCTACGAGTTCAAGGATGTCCATATTTATTCATAAGAGTGTAAACAATCAATTTCATATTTTCTCTAGCTAATGGCTCTATAGCAGCGTGATCGGAAAACCTATAAGTCCACGAGTTAGAACTCAGTCAAACAAGCAATGAGTGACAATATTGTGGAATGAGATGCTCCTCAGAGATCTTGGTGATGAAGTAAATTTCATTGCCAAAGGCATCAACTACTATCTAGGCGTGATAAAGTTTTTTAATCACTGGAGGGGGGTGTGCGAGCAAGGAAGTGCAGTGGCAACGTACCGAAAAAGCGAGCTGTTGGCAACAGTAGAGTCGAGTGGCATGAATGCGCAAACCTGCTTGGTCTTCAACATGTTAGCGATGAGACTCATGAAGGTATATATGGTGTCAAGAAACAATGTAGAAGTGAGGATATCAGAATATGTAAGAAATTGAATATCATGCGACAGTGCTGTATAAGAACCCCGGCGAGGGCTCACAGACACTGGGTCAATCGCAAATTACCGCATCATGTAAGGAGGGAAGGAAGTAAACATAGAAAGCTTCAAGGTAGAAAGAGCTTACCAGTTAATGTGTGGAGAGTCCAGCTCCCTGGTGGAGTTTGAGTTAGTAAACAAGATGGCGGAGTAGTTCTGGACAGAACAACATTATGTTCTGATGCAAGATGGCTCAAAGGTCGACGGAGTCTGGACCTTTTAAGTTCTGCAAGATAGCAAGAGGAACAAGCAAAGTAGATCGCGTTGAAAACTTGAAGCTTAAAAGCAACTCCATCGGAGCGGATAATATCCGACCTCCGATGGAGCGCGCTAAGGCCGGGAGGCAGCCCTAGGCCGCACGCAAACGCCCCTGGGTGGGCTGCTACTGGCTGCTAAGCGAGACTCTTGTGGGCGAAGGGCCGCAGCACCGAAATTCGCTATCCAGCAGACCAGAGCGACTTGTGCGTTTCGGACGACTTCGACAACCCGACATTTCGACAACAAATTATCAACACCGTCCTCCCGGAGTCTGTCGACCGTGAGTTGCTGTCCGCCCTTACCGTGACCCCCGCAAGACTTCAACTAAGACGTCCCTTTTTTTGCTATTTTTCTAGGAAGCCTTCGCCATGGCCGATATCGATGTTCAGGTTGCTCAATGGAAGCTGGTTGAGGTTGGCCGCGTTGTGCTGATCCGCAGCGGTCCTTACACCGGCAAGCTCGCTGCCATTGTTGAGATTGTCGACCACAAGCGTGTACGTTTTTTTGCGCATATACCGGAGTTGCTACGAGCGCGACGGGATCGGATTTATATATTAGGAGGAAACGCGATATTGACAAAAGTGTTGCATCGATTAGGTCTTGGTTGACGGTCCCTCCACCGAGGAGCAGAAGATCGTTCCCCGCCACGTCCTTCCTCTCTCCCACGCCACCCTCACTCACTTCGTCATCCCCCGTTTGCCCCGTGCTGCCGGTACTGGCCCCGTGAAGAAGCTTTGGCAGAAGGAGGAGATCGATGGCAAGTGGGCCAAGTCCAACTTCGCCCAGAAGACCGAGCGCGCTGAGCGCAGGAAGAACCTGTCCGACTTCGAGCGCTTCAAGGTCCTCCGCCTCCGGAAGCAGGTACGTTTACGAATCGCGATGGTGTGACATGCACGGAATATTGGGTTATATGGAGGAAAATCATATGAAAGTGGTCGGGACTATTGGTCGATTACTGGGGAAGAGCCGGAGATATGATGTGCATGGGAATTGCAGGAACAAGTGCTGACATGTTGGATTTTACAGGCTCGCTACGAGGTCCAGAAGGCTCACGCTAAGCTCAGGGCGGCTGCTCCTAAGTCATAGACGGTTCATGAGGCTCGGTGCATAGAGTGACAGGGTTGCCTTGGGACGGGGTTATTTGCTGATGGTTTTATTTATTTTCAGCAAAATGGGCTGTACGCATTATTGACAGCATAAAAATGATTCAAGAACCTTTGATATCCTGGCATAGGTTATCCTCGTACGTCATGAAAGATGGAGGGCGGCACGGAACGCCTTGCAATTAGTATATGGCAAATGGTATCTCGGGGTATTAATGATCTTGACATGACCTGGTCATCAACTTAGACAAAAACCAATCCACAAAGCCAAATGTGTTTTCAGTAAATCAAAACAGTAGAATTGATACGGTGCAATGAATTGCTGCAGATTAGATCATATTTATATAATGGAAAATGAACACTTGCGTCAGTAGAAGTGGTGGTTGTACTACGATCTGTAGATGCATCGCTTCTGTGTGTCCGGGGTGAGGGTCCCAATAAGCTCGCTAACGATTTTCGGCAGGATGACATTCACACAGCTTTGCGACTTCCCAACTACAACAAGGCAAAAAAATCCCCCTCATCCACCACAGCCCTTTGTTCCGCGTCTAGGTAAGTTGAAATGGAATTCCTTGCCGCGAAGTTCAATTTTACGGTCGATTTTGGCGATTTCCCGCAGATTTGTGGGTGTACCACGGTCTGAGAGGGACATCTGCGAACCTCCCACCTTCAGCGACCAGTCACGTCCCACAGTGTGGTTTGCTGACCATCAACTCTACAGCCCTTCTAGGCTCACTCGAATTACAAAATGGCCGACCCCCGTGTTGAAGAGCTCCCCGACGAGGAGGTTCCCAAGACCAACGTTGAGGATGCCGGCAGCTCCTCCGAGTCTGAGGCTGGCGATGAGCCCACCATCCCCGGTGGTGCCGCTGTCACCATCCACTCTCGCAACGAGAAGAAGGCTCGCAAGGCCATTGGCAAGCTCGGCCTGAAGCACGTTCCCGGCATCACTCGTGTCACTCTCCGTCGTCCCAAGAACGTATGAATACGGCCCTGTCCCTCCTTCCCGTGCGACGCTCAACAGAACCTGCACTCGTGGAGTTATTGTGGGCGACGAAGGGTTTTCTCAGACCGCAGAGGCTAATCAATCGCATATAGATCCTTTTCGTCATCAACCAGCCCGATGTCTACCGCTCCCCCTCCAGCAACACCTGGATGTATGTGTCTCCTTAAGACTATGACGAATTGATGAATCATCTCAAGCTTACATTGTTGCGACAGCATCTTCGGTGAGGCCAAGATCGAGGACCTGAACGCCACCGCTCAGGCTACCGCTGCCCAGCAGCTTGCTGAGGCTGCTGCCAACGAGCACGCTGGTCACGACCACGAGCACGACCACGGCAAGGGCAAGGCCCCCGAGGCTGAGGCCAAGAAGGAGGAGGAAGAGGATGATGGCGAGGAGGTCGATGAGTCTGGTCTTGAGGCTAAGGACATCGAACTGGTTATGGCCCAGGCTAATGTGTCCCGCAAGAAGGCCGTCAAGGCTCTCCGGGAGAACGACAACGATATCGTCAACTCCATCATGGCTCTCAGCATATGAACACCGCCGGAAATGAACGCATGAATCGGTGGCTGGCGTCTCTTGGCCCTGCTGGCAGGATGGATTTTGGGTGCGAGGTCAGATTGATATCCCCTAGGATGCATGTACTGTCAGGCCCCATAGTGTAAATCATTTAGCCAAAAGCAGAATTGAATGATGTGAAGCACTATTTGGCACCTTCCATTTGGGTTGGAATATTTTCTAATAAAAAAAAAAAAAAAAAAAGTACACAAATTATTCCGTAACCGGAGACTTATTCAAATTCGAAGAAATTCGGGCTATAATTGAATAGTATAAACATGTAAGCTCTCCGGACTATCTATACGCACACCCGCCCCCTGCGAACTCCCCTTGTGTAGTGCCAGTTCGGGAACACGGGAAAGCCGTGGTCACGTGAGGGCATCCCCATTCCAAATCTTGCCGAGTTCAACCCTCACCCTCCCGGAACCTCCAGCTTCGCACGTTGAACTCCCCTCTCTCCCCCAACCTTCTCCGTTCCACATCTCAAAATGGCCACTGTATGTGGGGATCCTGTTTTTGTCATAAAATTGTCTCGGATGGCGAGAGAAATGTGTCAGCTAACTGCGTGGTGTACAGCGTAGCGCCGCTCTCAAGGTCGACTGGGCCAAGTTGACCAGCTCCCTCGGACTCCGCGGCCAGACCGCTGCTTCCCTCCAGGCCTTCAAGAAGCGTAACGACGATGCGCGCCGCAAGGTTCAGATCCTGTCTGAGCAGGCCCAGACTGTCGACTTCGAGCACTACCGCAAGGTCCTGAAGAACCAGGCCATCGTCAACGAGATCGAGAACCACTTCAAGACCTTCAAGCCCGCCACCTACGATGTCAGCCGCCAGCTGAAGGCCATCGACGCTTTCGAGGCCCAGGCCGTCAAGGGCGCTGAGGAGACCAAGGGCAAGGTTGAGTCCGAGCTCCGCAGTCTCCAGAAGACCCTCGAGAACATTGAGACCGCTCGTCCCTTCGAGGACCTCACTGTTGTATGTTATGGTGTTCCTGAGTTGGAGTACGCAGGGTTTTGGTACAGATTTATTAATGTCTCTTCTTCTTTTCTGTTTAGGACGAGGTTGCTGCCGCTCAGCCCGAGATCGACGAGAAGACCGCCTCCCTTGTCTCCAAGGGCAGATGGATGCCGGCTGGTTACAAGGTGCGTGATACAATACCTGCCCTATTGCCTGATTCTGCGACGAGTGAAACTAATGGATGTTTGAATTACAGGAGCGCTTCGGCGACATGTCCGTTGTTTAAACGGTCACATCTTTTGTACCTATTTACGTCTCTCCATCCTTCGACCAGTATAATCACACGAAGTTACCCTTTGTTGTCAAGCATGTTGGCCAGTTAGGATACCCTTGCTCTCTGGCAGTGTGATGTCGGTTGTAGGGTCATGTATAGAAACAATGTTGAATTTAGATGGTTCCCTCACCACCGGACCGTTTTTGTATATCGGCCCTCGACCGCTATGTTACGCTCCATATCAAGCAGTCGACTATTTCTACCATTAAAGGTGTTCAGTATGCACGGTCTAATAATCAGGTCAAATCAAATTGTAGCATTTCTCAAGGACATTGCGAATAGTGGACACCCAGTGCGACGTGTTATCGACATTAGTCCCATGCCAACACCAAGGGCAGTCAAGATGATAAAATTAGATGCTTCATTATAACGATCCCCGCCTTTTCCCCAAATTCAAGGCCCAGTTCACTCCGATCGCATTGCTTCCAATTTCGGTCTTGATTGCCGCATTGAGCAAACAGTTTGTTTGTCATGGTCGTAGTTTGCAAGGCATCTGGGATTAGACTCGAGACTTAGCCGATCCCGAGCAGCCTAAACTCTCTGCGCCAACAACAACAACACAGGGAATCCCGCACTTCAAGGCTGACTCTGGATTGCACATCCACGTCGTGATGGATCGATTATGGGCCACAAAGCCAAATCATCAAAGTTAGAGGCTTAAGATTATCTTCTGTGAACCTATTTGTTATCGGTTCAATCAAATTACGATCTCCACTCTGACAGATTCGCGCCCCTATTTTTACTTCGCCAGGAACTCAGCTGAGAGACTGAGTGGTCTAGACCTTATTTTAATGACCATTAAACACCGATGGCCCTGTCACTCTACAAGTACTTAAATTCAGGATGGTAAGCTTATCGCCAGGATGATTGTTGGAGCTCAGGCCACCTTCTCCAAGTACCGTCCCTTCAAGACTTCATAATATATAATCTCGCCAGTATACGGATAGCTACTACTTGAACGGCCATTACTATTGAGTTCACAATGCCTAACGTCTCGCAGCCGGCCTTAGCCGGATTATCAGCACTCGAGAGCTTACCGGTGGAAATTATCCAAGAGATCTTCCTTCACTGCCTCGAAGTCAACCTCCCGCGAGCCTCCATACACATTGCCCGGGCTCTCTCCAACACGGTCCTATACACCTGGGTCATTCGCTATGTCTTCAGCAGCACCAACGAAAGCGCAAGACAAGATTTCTTTACACCTGATTTTCTTCCCTGGCCTCTTGATGTTTTCGCTATCTCTCCCAATGAGAGGAGGAACCTGCAAAACGTCATCCTCAGTTGTCGCTGGTGTACACTACCTCTGATCCGGAAATGCCAGAGGGACTACATCGAGCACACAATCCGCCGCAAGTGTCTACAGCTAGACTTAGCGCCTGAAGACCGTCAGACCCTCATCAGTATTGGCGAGCAATTCGACAACGATCAACATCTCACACCTGATGACACGCTCCATGCCCATCGCGGCAAAGGCGACCTGATCCTCAAAGCCAAAATCGCAAAGTCGGATGTGGACTGCAAAGTTGCAGTGTGGTTCGATGCTGGCGCAGTCCAGATCCGTCCATCGAGCGAGATCTACCAGGAGACTGACATCTTCCGGCTACCATGCTTCGCAGCCAACCTACCAGTCCAGGTCCCGGACAAGCTACTTTTTCCTCCGTGGACCGACTCTAAACTGGACTTCCTCGAGCTGCTCTCGCCGGACGGCTATCTTGACGAGGATCCCGAGCACCCGCGGGCGAAGCGGATCCTCCGACAGACGATTCGAGACCGTGACCTCGCAACGTTCAAGCGATTGCTGAGCATGCGGATTCGTGTGCCGTGGTACAAGTACCCCATTCGGTGGCCGGTCCTGCCAAATCACTTCTATGTGGCTTTAAAGTATGCGCGCGAGGTGGAGGACCCTTTCGTCCGGTTGCTGGTGAGTCAGCGATGGGAGGATATCCCATCTGACGACTTTCAGCTCAAGGATCAATTGATGGCTAAACTTGGGACAGGCATCTCGGGATAAATTGCCAGGATGACCTCAGTCCGCAGGAAATACACGGTATACAACTACGGGGTACGCCCGATTTACTTCGACATTTTATTAATTTGGTGAAAGATTTCATTGCTCGATATGGAGACACAGGATATCAGGCACAGCAAATAAGATGAGAAGGAAACGTAGCAGCAATCCAGGGGAACCACAAAAACTCCGAACTGATATCCATATTCATATCCGTCATAACGTCATGGCGTTCAAGTCAAAAGGTCGAGGTCAAGGTTGGACATGTCTCGTATTTAATTAATGTCAGACTCTTGACCTCCGCGTTCTTCTCCTCCTTCCACCACAGGAACCGCAGGTCAGGCACGAGATGATCACGTCGAAGAGGGTAACGACACCGTCGATGATGGCTTTGCAGACAGCTCCGATTGTGTTGACGATGCCCATCAGGCAAGCGCCGATGGCGTGGAAGATACTAGTGATCTATATAGAGAATGTGTTAGCCAATCATCAATCACCATATTGGTTATGGAGCAGAAGAGCAGAAGAAGAGCAAGAAGAAAGACATACACAAGAAACCACAGCACCCATATTGACGACTCAACGTATTTCGTTGTAAGCAGTAGTAGTTGTATGTAGTATGATAGAGGTTAGATGGAATTATTTCGATCCCTTCGGCACCGTAGAATTATAGCTCGAAGAAGCAGGAGTATGAGTAGAAGTATCACTGAAAGGACGCATGTTGATCAAAAGAAAGATTTCGAAAGTATCCCACAGAGGTATATATATGTGTGTCGTGCAGCGACAAGTGAATGAAGAAGTACAAGGGGGGGACGATCGATGATGTATGTGTCTAACACAAGTAGTACTTTTTTTTTCCCAGTGGCTTGTCCAAGTGAAAGAAAAGAAAAGAAGAAAAGATAATACTAACTATAAGTTTAATATGATCGACATACACCCTACATATTAAATAACTATTATTTCCCAGTTTTCATCTTACAATAGGAATCCCCATCCTTGGAACCATGTACCAACTTGTTGTTACTTGGGGATGGATGCCGTCATACCGACGACAGAACGACGCTGATGTTTTCTCCCTTCGGGGAATTTCCGGTGCGGATCAAGTACCCATTCACATTTTACTTTTATTTTACTTTTTATTTTATTTATTTTTTTTAGGTCATATTTGCTGTGACGATGGAGGCAGAGTGTGTTCATTTAGTGTTGCCACTTATGATAAGGCTGAGTGAGACCCTTGATTTGACGTTATGGCTGGTCTTGATTTTTCCCCTGTATATTCAACAGGGGGAGGGGGTGGTGTAGTGACGTCATGACTTATAATTTCCCCCCCCTCCCCCCGGCGGTTCCTTGGGGGCTTGATGGGGATTAGTGGTAGGGTTTTTATGGTGATGGATTTGGAAAGGGGGAAGGTCAGGTGAGAGGGGATGCCCTGGGATGGTGTTTGCTTTGTTTGATAGGTTGATTGTGGATATCGGTGTCTTGACTGTCTAAGATATACATAGTAGTGAGGAGGTGAAAGGGTTTATATGCATGCATAATGTCATTATATAAGAATCTATTTACCTATGTTATGTTATGTTATCGTACACATTACCATCAATCACCATATCGATAATCTACACATCCTTTCCCTTTCGTCCCATCCACCACTTATAATTTACTGAGGTTTGGATATTACATATTCGTCAACAGCCTCAAGATACCACTCACTCTCCCTCCCAACGTAATCTGATACCCCGTCTCCACGACTCCCTTACACATCTCCCATGCACCGGTGCCGTCCTGCTTCGCACCATCACCCTTGCGAATTGGATAATCCACTCTGGGCGGAATCCTCGTCGCCATAAGCTTAGGGAACCGATCCACGCAGACTGCCTTGATATTACTGACACCCCTCAAGCCCTCTTCACCCGCAAACCGACCGTATCCGGATCCCTTGACGCCACCAAACGGCAATTGAACCGCATAGTAGCTGCCAAAGTCATTGACCGACACCATGCCCGACTTGATGTTCGCCACGCACTTCGCGATATCAGTCTGGTTGTAGCCGAAGACGCTGGCACCCAGGCCGTAGTCCGTTGAGTTGGCGATGGAGATGGCGTGGGGAACGGAGGAGGCGCGCATCACGAGGAAGACCGGAGCGAAGAGCTCCTGCTGGGCGATCTTCATGGTCGGGGTCACGTCTACCAGGAGAGTCGGGGTGAAGTAGTGGCCTAGAGGGTGCTCGGGGTGCTCGAAGCGCTTTCCACCGCAGATCAGACGAGCGCCTTGCTTGACGGCGTCGGCGATGAGGGATTCCAGGCGGTCGAAGGAGGCCGGGGAAATCATAGCGCCGACGTCGGGGGTTCCGGCGGAGGTTTGGGAGTCGAGGAGGATGGAGCCGAGACGAAGACGGGCGATACGGGAGGAAACGGTCTCAACGAGCTTGTCGTATGCGTTGGGCAGGGCGATGATGCGCTCTACGCCGATGCAGTTCTGGCCGGCGGATTGGAAGACACCACGCATGAGGATTGAGGCGATGGCGGAGATTTCGCTGACGGTGCGGGAGTCATCGAGAACCAGGGCTGGGTCCTTGCCGCCCAGTTCGACGGTCACCGGGGTAAGAGATTTAGCGGCGGACTCGCAGACTTTGTGGGCCACGGGCTTGGAGCCGATGAAGGTCAATTGGGAGATGTCCGGGTGGGAGGTCAGGTGGTCGGCGACGTTAGGGAGGCAGACGATGCTTTGAACGAGGTCGCGCGAGTGGCCGCAGCTGGAGAGGGCGCCGCGGATGACCTCGAGGAAGAAAGCGGAGGACCATGCGGTTTGTTCTGAGGGTTTCACGACGACACCGTTTCCTGCGAAGATAGCACTGATGACAGGGGAGATGAAGTTGTGGAAGGGGTAGTTCCATGAGACGCAGGCGGAGACAACGCCCAGAGGCTCGTAGGTGACCATATTCTTCTTGTACATCATCAGGAAGTTTGTCGGGCGCGATTCCGGTGCCAGGGCCTTTTCACCATGGTCGAGGGTCCATTTCAGCTTCTCGGCGGTGACGAGGATCTCTCCGAATGCAGCGTCGACTTTGGTTTTACCTGAGTCCAAGCAGCAAGCGGTCACGAGTTCATCCTGGTGGTCGAGGACGTATCTGTTGGATGAAGGGTTCAAGGTCAGTGCTTGCGTTGGTGGGTGAAAATTGACATGGCAGGATGAGTACACACTTCAGCAACGTCCTCAGGACCTTCCTCCTCTCTGCAAAGCTAGTATTGGCCCATTCAAGTTGTGCGCTCTTCGCAGCCAGGACTGCGCGATCGACATCGTCAGGAGTTGCGGGTTTGATTCCATTGCCGAGTACTCTTCCGTCCGCGGGACAATAGCTCATAATCAGGTTGTCGTTCCATTGCTGCGCAGGAGAAAGACGTCAGAAGCATGTCAAGATATTGAGAGGCAGGTATGTTCAGTAAAGGAGAGGGTACAGGCAGACTTACTCCCCGAACTTGTCCCTCCAGCACTTTTCTTCCCTCCCCTTGAAGACTGTCCCACTTCTCGCCCTTCCAATTGGCCCGAATCTCGGGAGGAATGGGCACATTGAATGTAACGGCAGCCTCCTTCCTACCCAGAACGTAGAGATAACCAAGGTACGCGGCTGCGAGCGAGAGCAACGTGACGCCGAGTAACGGGCCCTGGGTCCGGAGATGGTCCACCAGAGGCAGGAGAGCCGGAGGGATGAAATGGTTGAGTGAGTCCATGGTGAAAGTCGCACGGGGCGATTGACTCAATGCTCTGCTTCCCAGGCCCTTCTGCGTGTGTGAAAGGACAGAAAATGGCAAAAGGGAGGGGGAACTTAAGGACTGTCCGGAGGTGGTTCGATCGATTATCCACTGCTCCGATATGCGGGTGCACGTGCCAAGGGGGCGGGTTCCATCCAGCTTTTTGCAGTAAACAACTGACGAGAGATCATGGGCAATTGTAAAGATACGGATGTATTATCATTATGTGTCCTTGAGGCTTCATAGTTATTTGAGGGCTTAATTGGTTGACCCTATGAATTGGTCTCAAGCGGTGCCCCAGAAAAGATCGGTTGAAATGGCAGACGAAGATCCTGATCGGATATATATAGTGCATCTACTGCTACTAGTGATAATACCTGCGCAAACCATCATCGCCTTGAAATGGGTTGAGATTTTACTTGTCTTCATTAGCAGAATCTAGCTCTACATCATTCAAGTAATGATGACACTAACTCGCTAATCAACAGCAAAGCACTCCGTACATAGGTATACAGTCACACATGGTGCTGAGTTTAAAAGCATCTCTGCTCAACCACGGCGTTTTCGTCCATTGGGTTTGACATCCTCCGTTGATTCCGTGCTACCTCCCTTCCTCTTTCCAGTCCTTTTCACCAAATGGTCAATCACACAACCCTCCTTCCATCCGGCAGATGACTGCCCAGTAATTGCCCGACATCGTGGGCAAGACTTACCATGACGGATGAGGAGCTGATGAAGGGAATACTTCAGATGATCAGGGATGCGTACTTCGAGATGGCTGAACGCCGTAATCTCCGTGGCTTTGTCCGGAGGCACCCAGCCCAGCCATTTGCAGATACGGAAGATGTGAGTATCGACCGCAAAGCAAGGGCGTTGCAAGCAAAACAGTAAGACACAAGCAGCAGTCTTTGGGCCTATCCCCGGGTATTTGACCAACTCCACCATGGCGTCCTCTGTGGCTAAGCTGTGAAGATGGTTCAGGGATAGGAAGTTCTGGTCAGCGCATGCAATTTCATACTGCTTGCCACCTTCGGACTTCGTAAGCAGATCCTGTGGCGCGTCCTGAGAACCTTTCAGCAGCATGTCTCTACGCTGCTGATTCTCTTCGTAGACCATGTCTAGTATAGCCTTGATCTTCTTGCTTTTGACGTCTGCTAGGCCGCCACGCTTGATGGCTTCAAAGACATCTTTGAGTGGCGCCCGACGGACAGCGTCCCAATCCACACTTCCTTTTCCAACCCCCTCTTTCAGGATACCAAACCTCTGCACAAGACCGTTAAAAGCCATGGCGGAGTTATTGCCCGTTGTTGCTCCGCTGAGCAAAGTGCGAATGAGAGCATCAAGGACTGATGGAACCTCGCCACAGCCGGTAACAGTGAGAGATGGCTCAGGAATAGTGGTAGGGGCAACAATCTCTCCATGTATGGTCGAGAGCAGTCGATTGACTTCTTCACATTCATCAGGGGTGGGGTGCGCCCAATTCGGGAATGGGGTAATTCCAGGTGTGAGGCCGTATGTATTAGTCTTCTTGGATCTCTTGTCCTTTTCTCTAGGCCCCGAGGCCGCTCTTGTGGCCTTGTCCACAGTGTCCTGCAGTGTATTGGAAATTGCATCTATGTCTTCTTTCTTTATAGAGGTGTCGCGGGTGTCTAGCTTGATTGGAGCGCTCTTATCTTGCAGCTCGGATAGCAGAGTAGCCGAACCTAGGTTGTGAGGAAGTTCTTGAGCATTATTGATTCTTGTAGTTCTGCCGTTTGTCTTTAGTTTTTTGGGGGCAGGTTCGCCCACGATCCCGTTGCGCTTCATGGGCCGACCGCCAGATGTAGCGGTGGTGGCTCTTCTGGATGACTTTTTGGAGGCTGCAGCATCCGGGTCTGATACTTTGGATGGCTGGGCGTCTTTCTGCTGCATCTGAGCAGCAAGCAGCGCTGTCTCCCGCGCAGTGGCGGATCGTGTCATACGAGCCATAACTACTCAATCAATGACATATAGTGGATGGACGACAGTGTACTCTTCACACGGTAAAGACAAAAAGAGAAGCCGACCGGCACCTTGGAGATACCGCGCAAATTCGATTCAAACCACGGTGTATACCGCTGGCTGAAGGACGAGGCAAGACAGATGCTGCATGACGCAGGAGTCGCCAATTGAATCGTGTTTCAAGTCATCACCGTAATAGTTATGCAAGAGTCTAGAGGTGGTGGCCACGCGAGATGATCTATCGTCGTCACATGATCGGGGAACCTGCAGGGCCCGTCCTGCATCTACGTCATTCTATGAACATATGTCCGGTTGCACGAGAATTTTCATCGGTGGTCTATATATTCCTTAAACGCAGGGTATCTCAGCCCTTCGCTGTCTTTGATAACAAAGCAAATGGCCTCCCTATCTATCGTCCACCATCTACGAACTCCAAGACTCCAGACCACATAAATGCCATGAAATGGTTTAGATAGGCCATAATGTCATAATCATGCGTGATCAGCAATGTTATGGATGCTGATGTCCATACGATCCTTCACCTTGGGGTGCTCCTCTTCCTTGTGTTTGCGGGTGGTGCACACGCTGACCTGGGGCACCTCCGACTCGCTGGGGTCCTGAGCGGGGATGATGTTGCCCGAGCCATCCAGCTTGACACCGTTGGCCGCCATGCGGAAGTCATCCTCGCTGGCAAAGCCGTGGGTGACAGCTTCCTTGGCACGGTCCAGCGCCTTGATCTTGCGACCTTCGCCGCGGAGCTTCTCCAGGTGCTCAAAGTAGCCATCGGAGACCGGGGTGATGTAGTTACCGCAGAAGACACCGACTTCAAAGTCGCGTGGCTCGGACAACCCATTCTCCTGAGCGATCTCAGCACAGGCACCCTTCAAGTCTTCCAATGTCTGGTAGATGACACTGTCCGCACCAATGTGCTTGGCTATAGACGCGGTGTCGCGGTTGTGTGCGACGAGCTCGGCAGGCGATGCCAGATCAATACCATAGATATGAGCATGTCTGTGAAGATGGTAAGCAACTGAAGACGTGCAAATTGGGACTGCTACCACTTACGTGATCTCTGGGGCGCAACTGGCAAAGTAAACCTTCTTAGCACCGGCTTCCCGGGCCATATTGACGATCTCCCGACTGGTCGTGCCTCGCACAATACTATCATCAACCAAGAGGACATTTCGGTCCTTGAACTCGGCCTGCATAGCATTCAACTTGCGGCGGACACCCTTCTGTCTGGTCTTCTGCTCAGGCATGATGAAGGTACGGAAGACGTAGCGGTTCTTGACGAAACCTTGGCAGTAAGGCTTGTCCAGATACCGGGCAACGGCCGCCGCAGACGTCGTAGAGGTCTCAGGGATGGGGATAACGACATCGATATCCTTGACCACTTCCGGTCCAAGGACATCGAGGATTCTGGCAGCGAGACGATCACCCATCCGCTGACGGCTACGGTACACGCTGATACCGTCGATGACGGAGTCAGGACGAGCAAAGTACACGTATTCGAAGATGTCAGGAGCATAGGACTTCTTGGGAGCAACCTGACGGAAGATAGGCTCACAACCCTTCTCAATGATAACCGCCTCACCAGGCTGGATGTCGCGGATGTTGCTGAATCCAAGCTGGTGAAGAGCGACCGACTCGGACGCCATCATGTAGTCGGTGCCCTCACCGTCAAGGGAGGCCCGGGAACCGATGACGAGAGGACGGATACCATAGGAGTCACGGAAACCCAGAAGACCGAAGCCCGCAAGCAGAGCAGTGCAAGCCCAGCCACCCTGGCATCTCTCATACATGCGGCTGAGACTAGAGAAGAGGTCTTCAGTGTTGACACGCGCCTTCTTCGTCTCGCTCAGCTCGTCAGCCCAGATGTTCAGCATCAACTCACTGTCGCTGTCAGTGTTGATGTGACGGTGGGCTTCGATGTCGAGATATCTCTTCAGCTCGGGAGCGTTGATCAGGTTGCCGTTGTGGGCCAGGCAGATACCATATGGACTGTTCACATAGAATGGCTGAGCCTCAGCGTTGGCACTGCTCCCGGCAGTAGGATATCTCAAATGACCAATTCCCATAGAACCCGGCAGGTCTGCTACCCTGGCGCCATCGTTGAAAACCTTGGCGGCCATACCGTTCGACTTCAGCTGATAGATGCGACCGCCGGTTGCGCACGTGGCAATTCCTGCTGCATCTTGACCTCTGTCTAATTACGATCGGACTAATATTAGTGGGTGTTTCTCAAGCAGCGGATAGTCCCCGCAGTCTGGAGGGGCTAAACTCACGTTGAAGCAGGTATAGTGCCTCATGAAGGTCGATGGCAGCGGACGACGAGGGGTTCGCCTGAATCAGAGCAATGATACCACACATTATGTCGGCGGTAGGATGTTCTAGTTGGAAGCTTCGGATTAGCACGCGCTTCCGGAAAGTAATGACCAGCAAGGCAAAATTTCAGTGGCAATGTAAGTATAGTCAGATCGGAAAATATCCGCAATGATGCTTAGGAAGTCTAACATCTATAAAAAAAACCGAAATTCATCATAAAAGAGGCGAGGATTGAACAAGAAAGGGAAGATAAGGGAAAGCGATCCTATACTCACATCCAGAACGGGTAGAGAAAGACTTGGGGGGAAACACACACACACGGTGTGGTGGGGTAGAAAACGGAATTGGACGGGTGTAAAAAGATGGGATAGAGCCGGAAACGTCTATCGAGACATAACAAGACTCATGCAGAGGTAGTAATGGTGGCGGATAATGGCCAATGTCACGCCCACGGAGGGATAAGTGAAGCGAATAACATGGTTAAAGGAGTTTTTTTAGGAGAGGAAGAGAGGAGAGAGGGATCTCGCATCTTATTTCTCCTGTTCTTCTCCACTGCCAACCGAGTAAAAGGGAAGAATTTTTGCGGGTAGCCGCTAAACCAAAGAAAAATTTCACAAACCGGAGATTGCCCCGGCTTTCCAGTAATGCCGATGCCGGACCTGACTCAGCTCCCCGCCCGTTCCTACCATTGGTTGATCCATGCTTTGCTGGTATCGACCACTCAGAGATGAGTGCGGAGATTAGGTAAGTGTTATCTACATTTGTAGTGAATAACTATAGACAACCACTAGCTATGTTAGCACAGGCTATTGCCATTATTTTACTACTTCTCACTCGGAACATTCCTGTCGCAACGCTGATAAGCCTAGACTGTTGTGGATGCTGCCTAGTCACACTCAATCTCACTGAATTAGGCTTGTGAGACGTGTGTGAGGGAGCTGTGTAGCCAAGGTGATGCAAGACTAGCAAGCAGCCATAATGTACTTCACAACTCATTCACAAGCCAGGTGCTTCTATTACACACCTCAAAATAGCTTCATGTTCACAGCCCTATATAGCCCATGTAACTACCTAATGTTCACACACTCACACGCTCACACACTCCTCACACTCCTCTACCCTCCTCCACTTTTTAATCATGTCTACTGTAGCAATTCTCCCCCTCGTAGCCAATCAGACTCTCCATTCACATCCCCATCCCCCAGTAGGATCATATATCTCTTCTGGCCCATGTGTGCAAAGCATGTTATTCTGCACGATGTCGTCTATCCAGGCTTGCTTCATGTGTTAATCCCTATTCAATCTACCTGCAAGCAGCCCTTTCCTGCCCATCCCTCTGCATATAAAGATGTCTTCTCTTGTCTTCCAACTTTCTCTCCTCTGCCAATTTCTCCTATACTTCTATCCTCCCTTCTTGCCCGTCTTCTGCTATCTCTATCAGATTCTCGCTTCTCCATCATTCTTCCATCTGCAAGGATCTCCCTCCATCTATCTTCTCCTCTTATTTATCTACCTGTCATTTAGAATGGCTCCATTCTCTTTTGCCATACCTCACCTCTGCGAGAGCGACGATGACTGGCCGTCAGACGTCATGTCTATTGATGGAGACTCAGACCGTAGCAGTGTCACTGTTGAGAACGACCCTGACCTGGTGTTGAACATTCAAACGGGATATCGCTCCGGCCCAGCAACTGAGAAAGACTCTTCCCCCGCTGAGTTCAACGAGATTATTGAACTCGACTCTGACACCGAAGACGGGTTCAATGAACAAGACTACCTGACCGATGCTGCTTTCGATAGACTACTAGAAAACTGGAACAAAGCCCCCCGAAGACAAGATTTCGATGAGGACGTGCAGTTCATTGATGTCGCACCAGCCAAGCGTCCTCTCAAAGAATGGTGCGCAAACGGTATCGTCTACACGCCCGGGCAATCCCTTGAAATCTTCGACGGAAGATTCATCCGGATAGAGAGCATATCCCAGCACGTTGTGTCAAAAGAGATCTTCTTCACTGGGAGGCACTTGGTGCGCGCTACCGGCCACAAGGGCACTTATATCCCCAAGTGGCCCAACGAGCTCATTTGGATCGCAAATGACACTAGAAACATTGGATTGCCCTTAATCAAGCGCATTGTAAATGTCATTTTTACGAATGCCTGCCATGTGGAGAAGGATACCTTGAAGAAACAGCGCCCCCACGCCCTGTTCTGCCGGCTAAAAGAGAACTTCCGTGACAAGCCAGATGACCCTGCTTCCGTGGAATACCTCTCATTTAACGAAGCAGATGAAGGGTATAGGACCTATCCGAGCAGTCTGCGCAAGGCGTGGAGGGGAACAACCCGTTCTTTTGGTGCGAGTGATGCTCCGCAGGCAATTGATCTTGAGGGACCTGTGATTGATCTTACCGGGCAAAACACCGACAACAAGAGCAGTCGGCAGTACACGTTTGGAGACGGCTTCTGTGGCGCCGGCGGAGTATCCTGCGGTGCTCTCAAAGCTGGTTTGCGCCCTACCTGGGCATTTGATAATTCCAGACACGCGGTGAATACGTACAGTCTCAATTTCCGAGATGCCGAGTGCGAAGAGTCGGATGTCTTTTCCTTTCTGACGAACAACTATGATTTTCTTAAAGTTGATGTTACGCACAGTTCTCCGCCATGCCAGACATTCTCACCAGCCAAGACCGTACAGTGCGCTACAGATGATGCAAATTCCGCATGTATCTTCTCTTGCGCGGAGCTTATTCGGAAGGCAAAGCCGAGAGTCCACACGATGGAGGAGACGAGCGGATTATATGAGCGGCATCGAGAAACTTTCCATCGGGTGGTTCTGGACTTTATTGAGATTGGCTACTCTGTTCGGTGGACCATTCTGAACTGTGCATATTTCGGAGTACCACAGCTACGGAGGAGGTTGGTAATCATCGCATCTGGGTAAGTAGATATCGCGTCTTTCTTGTTTACTTCTTCTGATGGCCTTGATAGCCCCGGGGAGACACTCCCGCCATTTCCTGAGGCAACGCATGGGCTACCTGGTTCCGGCCTCAGGGACTACGTGACAATTAACCAGGTCATTTCGCGAATTCCTCGTGGGGCCTCCGATCATGATGTCGAGGGCGCGCTGCAACGTAGCGCGATTGACCGACTACCCTTCGACGCCAACAGACAGGCACGAACGATAACCTGTGGCGGCGGCGGAAATTATCATCCATCGGGCAGACGAGGCTTCACCAACAGAGAGTTTGCGTGCCTGCAGACTTTCCCTATGCGATTCCGCTTCGGGCCTCGCGAGGTGCGGAGACAGATAGGCAATGCAGTGCCGCCGAAGCTGGCAGAAGCCATATACCGTTCGGTGAAAGCTTCATTGCAGCGAACAGATGAGGAGGAAACGAATCTTGAGCGGCGAGGGCCATTCTGATTCTGGTTGATCATTGTGTCTTTTTTGGGGCATCACGTGCGATTCCAGATCTCTCCTCGTTCCCTGAAGCTCTTGTCAAATGCCGTCCACGCATATTATTGAAATATATTCACAATTAGAAAAACCTCAATGATCCTCTTCTCATTATGACTGCAAGAACCCGTGGACCTTATGTGATTTCTTTCCACAGTGAATTTGAAAAGTATTGGCGGGCTCTTATTGTGTTTCGGGCCTCGGTGTGGAATTCGGGTACCCTCAGCGAGTGGAGTCCCGACTGTCAGAGCTTGAGGGGGAAGATGGGGATGATCCGCCAGGAGATCCACATGCCTTTGCCTCTCATTGATAGCCGCGGGAAGGCATGAAGCCGCCCAACCGCGGAGTGAAGGGGGCAGCCATTGCCACGATAGGGTCGAATTTGGGTGAAGAAACATATAAGAAACGTTAGAGGAGAACCATGATGTGCGGATAATAAATAATCTTGCTTCCAGATGATCTCAATTGTGCGTTGGAGATGCAGGATCCGGTCGACGTAGGACATGCAAGGTGGCTCCTCCTGCATGATACTAAAGCACTAGTTCTCGACCGGGCATTCTGAGGTTGAGACGGAGGGGCCCAGCCAACATTATTAGTAGTTTAGAACAGCAATTCACAGAGATAAAGGTGTTGAGGAGGAGAAAACTCTGGGTCAGGCACCGGTTGCACTGAAACTGGTTTTTGAGTGCCATTGACTTTCTGAATATTGGGACCACGCGAAAAGGCGCCGATTGACTTCTCCGATCAGTAAGTCTAACACTAGTAACAAAGTAGTAACTAGTAAGAGAATTGATGAGAATCCCTCCCCGCTTCATGTGTCTCCGGCCAGCCGGCAATAACCGCCCGGATTAATTGTAGGAGGAAAAGAGAAAAATGGCCTCGGTACAAGGCCGGGGGCGGTATGAGATCAGGGTGACTTTAGCTCACCGTCCCTTTCCTTTTCCCCTTCTTCCCTTGGATTGCCCCCAGCAACGTAAGTCTACTATTTTATTTCCCCCCCAATTTCTTCCGTACTTTCCGCCCTTCCTTCCTCTTCTTCCCCTTCTCTTCCTCTTCAACCCGGCGGCATTGCTGCATCATCCTCCCTTAACTGATTGCATCGTCTTGGGTATCAATCATCATCATGTCTGCCTCTTGTTCAGCGTTGAGACGGCTGACCCACAGGTCTCCCCGCACTTGGCCCTCCCGCATCTCCTCCGTCTCCAGGCCTGCATCCTCTCTTTCCTCCATTGCTCGTCCCAGTCTCAGGACTCCCTCAACATTTTCTCGCGTCTCTCAATTTTCCACCATGTCTCCTCTTCAACATGCTGCTCCCGTCGTTCCCGGCGATAAGCCGTACGACCCGGAGATCAAGGATATGGCCGACTATATCCACAACTACAATGTGAACTCGGACTTGGCGGTACGATGGTTCTCCCGTATTTTTATTGGCTTTTTCCTTGTGTGCGATGGACTAATTGCAGATGTCTTGACTTGCAGTATGACACCGCCCGTTTGGTGTTCCTCGACACCCTGGGTTGCGGTCTGGAGGCGTTGAAGTTCAAGGAATGCTCCAAGCTCCTGGGCCCGGTGGTGGACGGCACCGTGGTCCCCA